TAGCAGCCACTTCCATTCTCAAAAACTGGATGTGCAACAAAGTTTGCAATGTTCTAAGACTCTGGATGAGATTGAATCCCCGTCGTCTGTGTTCAACTTGTCCTGTCTGCTTAACTGGTCTGCCTCTCATACAATGAGGAGTGTAGGTATTGAGGGTTAGGCGAATAAGTGTAATTTCAGCCATTAACGAAACGGCACATGTGCCTTCAGACGATCTATCTTGCTGAATTTTACTTGTGTTCATAGTTTGGGCAAGTGAAACCTTGTTTGTCAAGTTGAAGAGGAAGATACATTTCCAACTTGAGTAACTTTCCACGATCAAACTTACTGCAATTGTCCTCCTAGTTAAGGAAGGCTGTTCAAGATCTCTTTGAAAGTAAATAAACTTAAATTTGCAATATTGTTGCTGGATTTCTATATAATTATGGAGCTTGGACATGTCACAAGATTGAATTAATTGGCTCAATAACTTTTATTTCCTTCTCTTGACGATCGACTCTTCAAACACTACTACTGAGTCATGGTATTATTACTTTGCATGTCGTTGAATGAATTATCCATTTCCTCCCTCACAACTACCCATTTTCTTTGAGTCTCGTTTGAAATATCCTTTTCAAAATTACCTCCAATGATGGTAGTCGCAACATTTGAATTACTCAAATATTTCACACACGTGTCAATAATTTCATTGCGTGTTGCATCTAAAATAACATTTCTTCTGAATTGTCTCAACTCGTCATCAATTCCAAATACAACTTTACTCTGGGCGTGAGCATGAGGTGTCACAGGTGAGTCCAAATGTTGGAACACTTGCAACTTGGCTTCTTGAATTGTTTTTGGAGTGACAGAGTCTTTCATCTGAATCCACTCGGCAACATTGGAGCAAATACCAATGGTTCTATTTGGATTTGGATCCCTATATGACGAAAAGGTAAAAACGCCATTCATACTTTGAGAGGCATTGGAGCCGTAGGCGCCTCCGCGTTCTCTCACTTCCTGATGCAAATAATTGGAGTGTAGAATGGAAGAGACCACTCGAAGAAGGGCAGAGTCCTTGGTAGCAAATGGTGTAGTCACTAGTGCTCTACCCACAAAACTCACCGAGGATGGAATGGAAAGATAAGTGTTGATAAATTTGGGTTTAAATTCGAGTTGAGCTTTCATCTTGGCCTCACTCGTCACAGTTTCATTTTCAATCGCTTCATAGAAATGTCTTTCCATTATTCTCATCATTCGATCACGTTGGTGCTCTTCGCAGGTAATGAGAATTTTCATCTTTTCTCTTTCTCAATAAATAAGGCACAAGTTCTTGAAGTGAGGTGGCAATGAGTTCAGTATTGGCTTCCGTGGAGAGCTGTTTCAAGAACCTCATGGCATCAATTCCACTCGTGGCATTAATCAATGAATCATAGAATGAAATGTTAGCAGCAGCATGAGTTTTGGCATAGTGATGTCCACTGTGTAAGATTCCACTTGCAGCATCAGATGCAGCTTGATCAATGCAATTTTGTAAGAAATTCAAATCTCCAAGGAAGTTCACATCTGTGTAAATTTCTCTCATCAAGTCGACCATTTTCTCTGCATTTCGTTCCAAACAATAAGAGGAAAATTTGAGAGCAAACGAAAATTCATCGATTTTTTCGAGACTTGGAACGAGAACAGGAGAGGCATCAACTCCACCGGTATAGAGTTCAATTTGATGAGCGAGTTGGAGGTAATTCCACTTGCTTGTTCCCACTCTTACAAGAAGCTACATTGTGAATAGATTCGGAAAATAAAAAATCCATTATTAAATCAATAGAATATCAAAGGCAAAGGTTACGATGTTCTGTGTCAATGAAACATATTTCTCAATTCAATCCTACTTACATCTCCAAATATTGGAACGAATTTTTGTAAATGTTCTGGAACTTCGCCAAGAGAGAATGGAACTATGGATGTCACGTGAATAATTCCATTGGTACCTTTCACAACATTCATATGAAATTCAGGCTCGGCTTTTTCCTTCACGAGTTGAACCATTTGTACATCAATAATTTTTCTCGAAAGATCATCTACAGTTAATGTTGGTAAAATCTCAACATTCTTTGCCTGCTCAACTTTGGTTTCCTCCATTTCCTTATATTCCTCAACGATTCGTGTCTTGTCAGAGTCAGAAAGCGCCATCACAATTGAGTCGAGCTTTGCTGCTTCCATGGCTTCTTGCTTATCAAAGTAATTGGGATCTGGATTCATCACAAAAATGACCTTATGAGTATTATTGAGGAAGTATTTCTTAATCTTATCTTTGAAGAAGTTTGGATTTTCCAATTCCTTTCTCAGTCTGTCCAAGTAATAGTTAATTTTGAATGTGCTAATTGGATCATCATTGTGAATCCAATTTGAGAACACTGGAAAACAAATATTGACACCAAAGTTTGGAGACTTTTTCTTGATGGACAACTCCAAGCTATGAAGAACAGTATCAATCAGTCCTTGATCAATTCCATTCTCAATTACTTCATGGAATGTATCGTCGATGGCCTTCTCTACGGCCTCAACTTGATCCTTAGCAATACCTTGAGCTCCAATCGTGAATATTGGATCACCAACACTCGAGTCAAATCCACAGTAAGGAGCAAAATCAGGAGCCAATCCTGAAGCAATAATATTCTTATAGAATACACCTCTTGGTTCGTCCATTAACAATGCTGAAAGAAATGAAAGAGAAAATGTTTCGAATGCATCACTCTTGTCATTCATCACATAGGCAATGGCAAATTTGGTTTGTTTCTGTTCATCAATGACCATAGAATCAGGAGGTCCTAAAACCTCAACTCTCTTTGGTTCAGTAAATCTTTTCACTTGCTTTGGGACCTTTCTTGGCGGAAGTGCTGAGAATTTTGAAAAGGCATTCTCATTCATGAATTTAATGTGCTTTAGGAAGGAGAAACAACCATAGGTAAATATTTTCGCTCTACTTGGATGGTAGTTTTGCTTGTGGAAATTTTTCAATTCTTCATAAGTTAGATTGGGAATAGCTTGCGGCTCTCCACCGCTGTTGAAGGCATAAATTGTACCAGGAAGAATGGCTTTGTGTAACTGCGTGCCGAAAAACTGATTACTGTCACTCATAGCTCCTTTCATTTCGTTATAGACAACTCCTTTAATTTTCAATGGAGAATTTGGATCGAGAGGATTTTCAAATTCTAATCTGTGACCTTCTTGTTTGAAATCTGTGTTCAAAATTCTAGGTTTTAGTGTAGAATCCAAATAAACAGACATTAAATTATAAAAATCTTTTTCGTTTTGAGTACTAAATGGATATGTCGTATGATCACTAGCTGTGTATGCATTCATGTAGGTATTTAAGCTTCTCTTCATCATGTTAAAGAACAAGTCTCGGACAGGATATTTCTCGCTTCCACATAATGTTGTATGCTCTAAAATGTGTGGTATTCCAGTGTCATCGTTTGGAGGTGTTTCAAATGTAATGGCAAAACAATTATTCATATCAAAAGGAGCGTCTAAATGTAAATATTCAGCTCCTGTTTGTGTATGTTTTAAACGATATGCCACCAAATCAAATTCCTTCAATTCTTGAATTGTTTCCAAAACCCACCCATCAATGACATCTCCTTCTTTAAGAGATTTTTCTTGATACACCACCGATTGCAATTCCTTGCGATGAGGATTCATTGGATGATGAAAATTTCTTTCTTGAAAACTCTCGCAAGCTTCCATCATCAATCGGATACCTCCACGACGACCAGAGCCATTATTAAATAACAACGAAGAAGATTTTGCATCCTCAACTCCGAGTCCATTTTGATGCTTTTTAAGAGATTTTCCAGATGATAACGACGATGAGAAGACGAGACGTTTTGTACCTTCCGACCGCAAGTGTCGAGTGCCCACAAGTTTTCTCATTTTTTTCTATTTTCAAAATTTAAAATTGATTGAGTGTTGACTCCAGCAATGAAATTGGAGAATGAAACAATAGAAAGCACGGTAGTATTTGTGTATGGGAAAGAATAATTTAATCAAAATAGAAAAAAATGAACAAAAAAGAACGAATAAAGGCTTTTTCAGATGGAGATTCGGAAGAAGAACAGATCAACAAAAGCCGATGCACAAAGAAAATCATTTACATCCAGTGAGGTTTTATCGTCAAATATGAATGAACAAGAGACACATGAGGAACATTCGGATTATTCTGATTGATTTTTCAGTTCATGATTATTCGGAAATATTCCTCTACCAAAATTTGAAAGTGCTAGGAATTTGGAAGGTCTATTTAAACATTAATTTGCATTACAACAACTTGGAAAGAAAAAATATTTGGAAAATAGAGAACTAAAATATGATATCTTTGTTCCGATTGAATTTAATAATGATCAAACATTTTTACTAAGCTATTTCTGACAATTCCAGTATCACCTGACAATTTCAAAAACAATACTTTGGGTGCATCTCTTCATCATTCGAAAGAATTAAGAGCGGAGAAAAGCCATACCGATTGTTTACAGTCCACAATGGTAAAAAAAGACTCATCCGGAGATGGTAGTACCAATTTATTACCTCAAAACTTGAAGCACGACAAGGAATTCATATTGGACGCTATTTCACAACATGCCACTAACCTACAACATGTATCTCCAGATCTCAAGAAGGATCATGAGTTTATTTTGCAAGCAGTACAACGAAATGGATTTGCACTCGAAAATTGTAAACAGAACAAACAAATTGTATATGAAGTCATCAAACAATGTCATCATACAATAGCTTATTTATCCAATAAGTTGAGAAATGACTTGGAATTCTTACTTTCTGCTGTAAAACAAAATGAACAAATATTAATGTACTTGTCAGATCATTTAAAGAGCGATAGAGATTTTATGTTAAATGTAGTGAAAAGAAATGATATCGCTCTCAAGTACGCCACTATGGATCTCAAGAAAGATAAACAAGTTGTCATTGAGGCAGTATGCCAGAATGCTTCTTCATTTCAATATGTCTCACCAGATCTGAAGTCTAATAAGGATTTCATTTTAGAATGCGTATCAATTAATGTTTGTACGTTGGGATATGTGTCCTACAGCTTAAGAGTGAACAAAGAATTTATGTTACATGTAATTGAGAACTATAATGGTTATGCAGCACATTATGCAAGTTATTAGTTGCAAAGAGACAAATTTATTCTGTTTTCATACTTTATGGCAAGGCATGAGAAATCAAACTAGTGATTTGATGGCACATTTAATTTTAGCCCACCTTAGCAGCGCAATACTTTTTTCGAACGATTAACCACGAAGATTCAAAAAACAGAAATGCAGCAACGGTATATTATTTGTTATAACGGGTAAGGTAGGACTTCAAAATAGACTTCAAAGCCGCATTTGGAAGATTTTGACATACATATCGCGAAAAATTTATTGAAGTCTATATACCTAAGCTTACCGTGTGTGTGAAAAAAATGCAAAACGTATTATATCAAAAGAGTTCCAAAAGCAACCCAATGAATCAAGTTTTGGTTGGTTCACTCATTGGCATGCTTGTGTTGCTTTTTGCAACACTCTCATGTCATTCAGTCATGGCTGCTGATGTGAATTGGTCCTCACTGACTGCCGAGCAATTACAACAACTTCCAGACAATGCTTTCACGTCCATGACTTCGTCAGACCTTTCATCTATTCCTCCATTGGCTTGTAGTGGATTCAAGAGTTCTCAAGTTTCAAGTATTAATGATTATGCTTGTAATGGATTCAAGGCGACATGCTTTTCCAATATGAATTCATCGGCTTACTCTGGATTTAAACCATCATGTTTTGGAAAAGTACCGAGTCAAGAGTTGGGTGGCATCAATTCTGCTTCAAAGTTTTCACAATTGAGTACAAGTGTGATTAGTTACCTCTCAAAGAGTGCCATTAACGCTCTAAATGAAGAGGCATGTGCTGGATTTACCTCATCTCAAGTCTCAGCCATCAATAATGATTATCCAAATTATGCTTGTTCTGGTTTCACTTCTCAATGTTTTAATACCATTCCTGTGGCAAGTTTATCAGGTTTGAAATCATCATGTGTTGGTAAATTAGGTGTTGACATGGTGAATCAAATTGCTGGAACAAGTATTGCAAATTTTCCTGCAGCTTCCTTTGCAGGATGGGTTTCGAATCAAATTTCCGAGTTGACCAACTTGGACATTTGTTCAAATTTTAGTCAAAGTCAAATCAGTGCCTTAAACAACGATTATCCTGTGTATGCATGCAACAAATTACAAGCAGCATGTTTATCAGCCATACAACCCAATGCTTATGCGGGAATGTCTCGATCTTGTGTGACTCAGTTGAACGTTAAAGAATTAAGTTCTGGAATTTCACAACCTGAACAACTCTCTAAAATTCCTGCCTCTTCTTTTTCTGGTTTTTCCTCAAATCAAATTGCCAAGTTGTCTCCAAAGACATGTTCTGGACTCCGATCTGATCAAGCTTCCAAAATGGATAATAGTTATCCTCAAAATGCATGTAAAGGTTTTCAAGCGAATTGTTTTTCGAAAATACCAGCTCGCGCATTCAGTGGATTCACCAGAGAGTGTGTCTCAAATTTTGATGCCTCTCAAGTGAGTGGATTGTTGACCTCTCAATTGACACAACTTCCAGATGCTTCTTATTCAGGATTCTATTCCAATCACATTTCACAATTGAATCCAACCTCATGTGCTGGCATGTCAAGCAGTCAACTGTCAAACCTTGACAATTCTTATCCCAACAATGCCTGTCAAGGTTTCAAAGCAGAATGTCTTTCCAATATTCCAGACAATTCATATGATGGTTTTACCAGTAGTTGTGTTTTTATTTGGGATGTCACACAAGTGAATGGAATTTCTTCTTCTCAGTTGAAACAAATGACTCCAAAAGCATTCAGTGGTTTCACCTCAAAACAGATTGCAAACTTGAATTCCAAATCATGCTCTGGAATTTCAAGCTCTCAAATTTCCTCTCTCGACAATTCGTATCCCAACTATGCCTGTCAAGGTTTCAAAGCAGATTGTCTTTCAAGAATTGTAGATTCAAGTTATTCTGGATTCACATCGACTTGTCTTTCAATGCTTCTTCCAGAGAGCATGAAAGGAATTTCAGCATCTCACTTAGCAATGATTCCATCCAATCAAGTCCATGGATTGACACAGAATCAAATGGCACAACTCAATAATTCCACATGCTCTGGTTTCACTTCATCTCAAATGGAAGGATTAAGCAATTATGCTTGTCGTGGATTTCAATATGGATGTTTGTTTGAATTGATGCCACTCAATATTGTTGCATCTATAAGTGCAGAATGTTTTTCGAATATTCCATCCACCACTGTGACTGGATTTAAACCAGAAGCAATTCCTTATTTTACTTTTGAAACATTCTCAGGTTTTGAATTGGATCAGTTGATCGCCTTTGTCAATGCGTATGGAGAGAAGAATTTTGTTTCAGTGGCTACTCAGAAACAACTGTCAACTGTCAGCAGAAGTGTGGTGTTGCAATTTAAGGAAAAGATTGAACAATCTTACATTCAGAAATATCGAACGTTGAATGATACCACCCATCAACTCTCTTCTCTGACATGGTTACAATTAAGTCTTACCACCGATGACTCTTTAAAAAAGGTCTTGAACTCTAACTCGATCACATTCATCACCAACGATCAGACATTTCTTGGACTTGACAATCGTGTGTACCTTTTACCAAAAGATGTCTTTTCAAAACTTCAAGTCACGTCCTTTTCATTCTTTTTGGAAGACACGGTGAGTGGAATTTCAGATGAACAAATTCAGTACATTACTCCATTAGCTTTTGAATATCCAAAAGGTCTTTCCTCTGATGTGCCATCGATTAATGTCCAAGCAGTGAAAGGAATGACCTATCAACAACTTGATATGCTTCTCAAATTTAACAACCTGGCACGATTATTCACGTGTCCACAATTCATGGCCATGACTCGCGATCAATTGGATTATATAAGAAATAGTGAGAGTTACAAACAATTGGAGAGACAATGTGGAACTCCAAATCCTCCTCAGCCACAACCTTCGAAATCAAAACCTCCACAACCTTCAAGATCAAACTCGCCTCAGCCACAACCATCTGGATCTCGTATTCCACCTCCTCCACGTCCACAACCATCCACGAGTCCATTAAGGAACACTTCAGTGATGCCCATTCAGAGCCAAAAACCTCAACCAAAAAGATCAGAGGGAATGATGATGATTGGTTCAAGCTTTTTGGCTGGTCTATTTAGTGTGTTGTTATTGGCAGTTTTGATGATGCAATAAAGCCGGTAGTTTGCAAGCAATGTCATGCCATAAGTATAAAGATCATGTGTAAAACGCGACAATCAAGAACCGATTTGTTCCATCACACAACAAAAGAACGCTCTTTTTTGAAGTATTACAATTATTGGATTTATTGGAATTTGATAATGTGCATCCAAGGTCAATTTAGAAGCACTTTCTGTGGACAATACCTGGACCGGCATCCTCATATTCTTCCTTGGTGATCCACATTTGTTGGAAGGTGGACAATGAAGCCAAGATGGAACCTCCAATCCAGACCGAGTATTTTCTTTCTGGTGGAGCCACAACCTTAATCTTCATGGAAGCAGGAGCCATGTTGGTCAATTCCTTGGTCATTCTCTCAGCAATACCTTCAAACATGGTAGTACCACCAGACAAGACAACGTTACCATACAAATCCTTTCTGATATCAATATCACACTTTCCAATCGAGTTGAAAGTAGTTTCATGGACACCAGCAGCTTCCATACCAATGAAGTTTGGTTGGAACAAAACTTCTGGACATCTGAATCTTTCATTTCCAACAGTAATCACGTTACCGTCTGGCAATTCATAAGACTTTTCAACGGAGGATGATTCAGCAGCAATCTTCATTTCTTGTTCAAAGTCCAAAGCAATATAACAGAGCTTTTCCTTGATATCTCTGACAATTTCTCTCTCAGCAGTGGTATTGAATGAGTAACCACGTTCCATGAGAATCTTCATCAAGTAATCAGTCAAATCTCTACCAGCCAAATCCAATCTCAAAATGGCATGAGGCAAAGCATAACCTTCATAAATTGGAACAGTGTGAGAGACACCATCACCAGAGTCCAAAACAATACCAGTGGTACGACCAGAAGCATACAAAGACAAGACAGCTTGAATGGCAACATACATGGCTGGAACAGAGAAGGTTTCAAACATGATTTGAGTCATCTTTTCTCTGTTAGCCTTTGGATTCAATGGAGCTTCAGTCAACAAGACTGGATGTTCCTCTGGAGCAACTCTCAATTCATTGTAGAAGGTGTGATGCCAGATCTTTTCCATATCATCCCAATTGGTGACAATACCGTGTTCAATTGGATACTTCAAAGTCAAAATACCTCTCTTGGATTGAGCTTCATCACCAACATAGGCATCCTTGTTACCCATACCAACCATGATGGACTTTTGCTTTGGTCTACCAATGATGGAAGGGAAGACAGCTCTTGGTGCATCATCACCAGCGAAACCAGCCTTACACATACCAGATCCGTTATCAACTACGAGTGCTTGAACGTCGTCACACATTTTGTTGTTCTTGTTGGAGAGAAGTTGTTGTTGAGTTTTTTGTTTTGTTGTGAAAATGTCTTGATGATCGGGTTGCGTTTTATTGTGAATTGATGCCTGTCAACTTGACGAAAAAATGACACCCCATCAATCATTCTTGGTGTTTACAATGGCAACCCGGTACCAGTTGTCGTTTGACACGATATTTGGAGATGATCAAGGAAGTGAGCACTTGAATTTGAAGGACAGGTATTGATGGGCATGAGAGCTTTCAAATTTGCAGTAATACAAAGATTTCAAAAGGGAATCGATGTAAGAGACCGGAAACATCGGTTCTGCATCTAACAACACTAGATTCACATTTTAAGGATTTTTCTGATTCAGAAATCAAGGACCTCTTAGGATAAGAGCACTCCAAGCTTATAAGCTGCAACCTTGATAAACAAAGTTTCTTCACAGATGTCAGACCCGCTTTCAAGAAAAAGTTGAATTTTCACAAAAAAAATGACCAAAAAGAAATCGAAAGCCTCCTCGAAAGCTACATCATCATCCACAGAGCAAGCCTCTTCATCCTCAACAGCATCTTCTTCCTCCGAATCTACTACTGCGGTTTTCGATGGAGCTATTGGAATTGATTTCGGTAATCATAACTGCACCGTTGCCTATTTTAACGTACAACATTTGCTTTCATCATTTCCAAATTTAAATTCATCATCGGCTTTAACTTCCTCATCTCCGAATAAGCCTTGTTATGCTGCTACGGTGATTCAACCAGTTCAAAATATGAACAGCCATGTGGTTATTATACAGAATGAAGATGGTGCTCATCATACACCTTCCGTGATAAAGGTGAACACAATCATCGAAGGAGAAGGAACAGATAATGAAAAAACAAGAGAGGAAATCATTGTAGGATTTCCTCCTCTTCCTGGAGCATCACTCGCTCCAGACCAAGTTGTTTCCGATTTGAAAGAATTCATGCTGGAGGATGAAGAAAGAATGAAGAAGGAAAATACGGAATCTCCAGAACGAATTGCGTTCAATGGAGAGGAATATTCTCAGGATTATATGGTCAGCTTGTTATTGGGAAAGATGAAAAATATTGCAGAACATTATTTGGGAAAGAAAGTGAAAAAGGCAGTGATCAGCTGCCCTTCGAACTCCTCACATTGTGAAGCAGTCATTCGGAAAGCATGTGACCTGTTGGACATGAAAGTTTTAACAATTCTCAAAGAACCTATTGCAGCCTTAATTGGTTACGGATTTGATTTACCCAAGCCAAATGAAGGAGCAAGGAAAGTTTGTGTGATTGACGTTGGTGCTTTGGAGACAAATATTTCAATCGTAAAAGTGGCAGAAAATGGCCTATTTGAAATGATTAAGAGTGAGTCGAAACGACCATTGGGTGGAGAATCCATTGACCAAGTTATGATTCAAATGTGTCTCCAGGAATTTAAGCGACTCTATTACAAGAATATGTCTGAGTCAATGTTCCAACAAGAAGTTGGAAAAAATAGAAAAGTCCAAAACAAACTAAGAAGATCATGTGAAAATGCCAAGATAGTGCTATCGAATAATCAACAAGCCATGATTGAAATTGATTCACTATATGATGGTTTAGATTTCCAATTCAAAATCACTCGTGCACGATTTGAAAGCTCAGTCATGTCAATTTTTGCAAGTATCATTGAACATGCAAGACAAACAGCGGACTCATTGGCAGAACAAGATTACTCGTTTGCATCCATTACCGACGTTGTTCTTGTTGGAGGCTCTTGTCAGATTCCCAAATTAAGAGATAGTATTCAAACATTATTTTCTCAAGCCAAAGTGCATGATTCGGCAGTTGAAGATAGTATAGCAATAGGGTGTGCCATTCAAGCACATTTGATGCACATGTACTCGCATTTAATGAACAACAAAACCAACTAGAGAGAGTATTCTTATTAATGAACATTTCTAATTACTTTCATGCGAAATAATTAATGAACTACTGAATGAGTTATTTAATCTTCTTAAGATCGTCCAATGCTTGCTCAATAGTTTTTATCATTTCTTGATCATTTTCTAGGAGATAGTTCTTTAACACAATTTCATACTGTTCTGCTGCCTTATCTTTCTCTCCTGTCACATTTTTGTAATACTCTGCCAACACAACTCTGGCTTCAGTTGTCCGAGGAGATGGATCAATTTCGATGGCTTTTTTGCAGTCATGTGCCACTCGTTCAATATATTGTGTCGAAGTTGGATCACTGTGTGGAATACCTTCTTTACATCTCTTCAAAAACTTGTCGTAATAAACCATGGACCGTTGAGTGTACAAAGTTGGAATTGGGGAATGCTCGCTAATTGTAATTGCTTCATTCAAATACTCGAGTGCTTTGTCAGAGTCACCAGTGGATTGACCTTGGGCTGCTTTCGCTCCCAGTTCTGTAGCTCGATCATAGAGGGATTGGAATTGTTGAAGCGTTTGGATCTGTAATTTCAACTCTTCAATGTAATTGTGCAAGTCAGGATGTGAATCACGTAAATGTGGATGTGAATCCAAAAGTGCGCTCGCTCTTTCAATATCAGAAGTCGAGCCATTCAAATTCTTTGAATGCATTCGGCACACTGCACGTCTGACATAGCCCTCAGCAAGAATATCTTTTGAGATCATGGACTCATTTTCTGGTTTTTCGAAATGCTCTACAAATAAGGTGAAATCCCGTTCAGCATTGCTCAGAAACACTGAGCTACTGGACGAATTGGCCATTTCAGACATGAATGTCTCTGAAAAGACTCTTCCTCTCACATAATAAACGTAATAGTCAAGAGTGAAATCGGTAATATTATTCTTCTTGGCATATTGGATCGAGTCTTCGATATACCTCTCGCAGTCCATGAGACAATTGTTGAGAACTTGGAGAGCGTCGTCATTCCACTCTGAATTAATTTTCACAGAGAGTGTGTTGCCAACTTGTGATGTATCATTATTGGTTCTTTCATTTGATGTTTCAGCTGAATTTGACTCTTCAGAAGCAGGACTTTCTTCTTCAATATTCATGGCGGCTTCACTATCTTTCATTTCATCAAACAATTCCAAGTTCAATTCAGCTCGTTTTAGAAATTTAACTGGAACTGCATTGTTTAAATCAATAGATTTTGAAATATGATGTAAAGCCATTCTCAAATCTGATTTGACAATTCTCAAATAGGTTGCATATGCAAAATTCACTTCGTCACTCTCAGATCCAGACTCAAGAGCTTTGGCATAATCTTGTTCCATAATTGTAGAATATTGTTCTTTTTTCTTTTGGACTTTGTGCTCTTCTCCACAACACCATAGCAGCGCTTGCTCGTCGGCACAAAATCGAAATGTTCAACTCCTTTGCTGCTTCAATAATTTCAGCAATAGGATCTCCAAGAAAAGTTTCTTGTTTTTTGGACAAGTCTTTCAACATGATCATCAATGTATCAATTTGGGCAAGAAGAGTAGTAAAAGCATTGACATTATCATAAATTCGATATGCAATCGGAATTGATTTTTGAACAATCATAAATAATTCATAGATTGGTTTTTCTTGCTCATTGAGAACAATCTGTTGTTCTTCTGATTCTCCTCCTTGAGATGAAGATTGATTCAAGCTCCGAGTCGAGTAATGGAAATTTCTGAATATTGTGAATGATGATGAAGATAAGGCTTGATGATGATTCAAAAAATTATTATTTAAAGCATTCAAACGTGGATGAAAAATCATTGCATGCCATGTTGATGAACAATAGTGTTTTTTGCTTGCCTTTCCGATCATCATCATCATTGTGTTATTACTGTGATGGAACAAGAATCCTTGTCGAGACATTTTTTTTTCAAGTTCTAAAAATTCATTCTCGGTTTTAAGAGGTCATCCCTTCTTTGATCGACTCAATATCTACGAAAACTATTGTTCTCTGAGAGAATCACAAACGAGAATAACAAGACTCTTAGACAGCACAACCCCCTAAGTGTATCTCACACGCACTCCATTCCTTTTGAGAAAATACTCCAAGTGTGTACATTAAATCCTCCAGAATGCTCTTGGATTGGCTTGCAATCACAAACCACACATCAGTGCATTTGGAGAAGTTTATGGATGTTGTTTTGACAGTCCAAAGCATTCACAAGTTAAGGTGATTTATCGAACCATGATTGTGGTATTTAAGCAGCATAAAATTGGTAAAAGGCTCGAGATTGCGTCGAGTAAGGCTTGACATCCTTTTGGCGTTGTCATTTACATTAAATATGGAGATTTTTAAAGTGTCACTTGTCGATAGGAATGTGGTTCGAGTGAGCACCTTGGCTGTTTGATTTAAATGTCTGTTTTGTGAGAACAGAAACAAACACCTAGGTGTGTTTGGCTTGTAATTAAATAGGAGGATTCCCAAATATGGTTCTGTCTTGTTCTTCTTCGTTGCTTCTTTCTTCTTTAAATAAATCTATTAAACGTCAGTCTGTTTTTCCTTTTTTTCCATAATGAAGAAAGAACAATGTAATTTGAATCATGATTGTGAAGAATGGCGGATTCCTTAATTCATCCATTAATTGAAACAATAATTTACAAAAAAAATGTCCTCCCAACAACAACAACAACAACCAAATCTTCCCCGCACGTGCGTCCGTTTGAAAATTGCCAAGTGTTCCACTCGGAGGAAGGAATGGAAATTTTATGAAAATCGTTTTAAAGCATTGACTAGTTGTAGTAATAGCACGGAACAATGTGAAGATTTAGAAGAATGGACTCGCTTGCTTTCAAAAATAATTCCATCGGAAAAGTATCTTTTTCAATCAATGAAAAATGATGATGAGAAGGAAGGATTGATTGGAGAATCTCGTGAGTTGGGTTTAAAAATTGGAACTTTTAACGTCTTGTTTGATTTGGTGCCGTTTTTTATTAAACCCATCATTCGGTCGAGACAACGCTACGCATACACAGTTCAGTTATTGAAACAAGAAAATTTCGATATTCTTGTGTTGAATGAAGTTACTGCAGAGTTTTTGAAAATCTTGCAACAAGATGAGTTTTTCAAAACGAATTACTATTTTAGTGACATTTTTAAAGTTGAAAATGATCATTCATTTGGCAGCTTGAGAACAAGTGACACTTTGAATGAATCATTAGGAAGAAAAATGGGAAACTTAATTCTCTCAAAATATGCTCCAGATTACATGTATATGGAATTGAAAATCCATGAAAGTCGTCCAGTGATTTATGCCTTCTTTTCACATGTGCCCAAAATGCATTCGAACATGTTCAATAATAGAACTACCGTCACCGATCATTCCTCACAGTTATGTATCATTGGAGCACATACTACTGCCATGACAGAATTTGCAATGAAGCGGCGGCATGAATTATTGGCCATCATTTCTCATCCATTGTTGCAAAGAGCTACAAAAAATGATGAAGGTTCCACTAACTCAAAATTAGATGTTATTTTAATGGGAGATTTAAATTTGCATGATGAAAAGGAAGACGTTGTCATTTCTGATATGAATTTTATTGATGCTTGGAATGAGACACGAACTTCGAAAGGTTACACATTTGATTCGAGTTTGAATGATTTGGTGCGATGGATGTTTTATGGAATGGAAATTCGAAGAATGAGATTAGACCGTATATTAATGCATGAATCGAGCTTGTGTGCTCCATCTTGCAAAGTTAAATTATTTGCCAATCGGCCGTTGAGAGAATTGTTTTTTAGCAACAAGAGATCTTTGCCACATCATCAAGAGTTGTTGAATGAGGTCACGAATAATGATGAACCCCGGATTACTAATCGTGCCAAATGGAGAGTGCCATTGTGGTGGAAGATCGTTCGTTTCTGTTTGAATGCTTCTTCCTTAATGAAGGTGGATTCTGGTTATGACTACTTGTTTGCTTCTGATCATTTTGGATTGAAAATGAGAGTGGTTCGATGTGACAATGAGCAAGAGAGAGATGAATTGAGACGTCGAGTATTGGCGAGAGAGAATAATTATTGCGATTTTGATGAAACAAACGGAGTAGATGAAAAGGACCATGATGGAATGGAGGATGGAGGTCCTTTTTCAAATCATCGATTTTATGTGGTTGTGACAAGCTTCATTCTTTTGGATTGTTGTGGTTTTCTTGCCAGGTGGCTATTCTAGAGAATACCCTCAATTTAACATCCTCCCAACAGAGTAATCCTGGGATCATAGTATTTCTATCATGCAAGGAAAGTAAATTGTCTGCGTATTGTCTTGTTTATTGGATGCACATGCTCATCAATTCTGAAGCGCTGTTGGGGTTGTTTGCAGTTGTTGAACAGTTTGCAGTTGTTGCTGAAGTTTAGCAGTACGCTTTGTAAATATTTTCAAATAGGCCTGTGTGACTTTGATATATCGATCAAACGACATGTATTCCATGATTTGTCTCTTGGAATACCTTTCATTGATGGATGGCCAATATCTGATTAAGGTTTGAATGCAAGCCTTTCTGAGATGATGATAAGGAGAGGATCGGTCGAGGAAGAATGACTTTTGGAACTCTAACACGTTTTGCTCATTCAATCCATCAACAATAATTTCTTGACATTTCACGCTAATGGGATGATTGATGTCCATTGAATAGAAATTCCATCTCGTCAAGAAGCTAATGGCATTGTTTTTTGTGAGCTCAACTTTGTCAGTGTACAGATATCTGATAAATTCCTCTTGAGCACGAATCTCATTTTCATCAGCATCTGTGATAAGCAAATAATAGTCATTGAATAACGTACGTATTAGGCATAATGTTGCAAAGAGAAATAAAAACATGCATACTACTTACATTCATAAATTTCAACCCGTCTTGAATCCATGTCACCCATTCCAGAAGTAAATTTAAGTTTGAAAAAGTCACATTTCACAGCAAGGATAGCCTTATGAGCATACAATACCCTGGTGCCTTCTTTGTTGAGCAATAAAGTAACATCTCCCATGTTTCCATTAGATTTTTGAGTGTTGTTAAATAATTGTTCCAAATTTGTTGAAAATGATGAGGGAGGAACTGAGATGTCACTTGAGCCTAGGCAGTGATAATTCTCTCCATATGTTAGAGTTTCCAGTAATGCCTCCCTTGAGAGTTGATCAAAGTTTGCAATTTCGCTAATGGTATAGGTCTTTTCGATTTTTCGAATTAATGCAATGCAATGTCTGTACAAGTTAATAATCAAAGGATGCTTTTTGAGAACCTGGAGAGCTCCCAATACATTGACAACTGTTGTGTTGGTGATAGATGTAAGAATCTTTTGTAAAATTAATTTGATAAATCGAGTGGTGTTTGAAGTGTCCTGAGACGACGCAGAGAAGTCTAGGCCACTATTTTCTGTAATCCACTGTATAATTTTGAGATCGTCCTGTATAGAGTTTGGGCTATCTCTGTCCTCGACCACGTCTGTACAGATGTATGTTAATAGCTTTAGAATAGAATTGCTCGAAAGTGTTGCAATAGGAGTTAAGTCAATTATCTTCATGGTTCTATCATCACCACCAGATTTTCTCTTCTTGGTAGGAGGTTCTGTGGAGGAGCCTACACTGCTCTCTTCTGTGACCTCTTTTGAATACTTCTCTAGGAGTGGAAAGCGTGTTATCACAAAGTCGTAGAGAATGGGGAATTTCTTTCCATCGCTACAAATAATGAATGAATCAAGAAGAGGAATCAAATTCGAATCTTCAAAGTTCAACATCTTTCCAAAAGTGTCATCGTAAATAGCTTCATTATACTCTCTATCTTCAGCCTCCACCATTAAGGTGTCTCTGCCACAATATACAGCCTTAACACGATGTTTGAATGTGCGCGTAAATTTGTCCACTCGTTGACCTTCTCCTGTACCTAATTGACCACACTTGTTGGATCCTGTCAAGAACATTTCCATCTTGTCTGTGATGGCAATGGAATAATACGAGTAGCAATAAAGATCTTGTACAAAGTGATGACTAAGAGAAGAGGCCGAGATGGGTATATGCGTAAAAGTGAAAAGTCTAGGTGTTTGTTCACCACACGACAACTGGCCGTCACCATTCCTGCCACAAATATAAACTTTTCCACTTAGAGTCAAAAAAGCAGAGTGATGGAAGCCACATCTTATTTGCTTAATTGTCTCATTGAGGGGAGTATCAATTTTGATAGGGTTATTCACACTTTGTTTACCTAGTAGTTGTGGATCAAAGCCAAGTTGGCCATTCACACTTGTACCAGAGCCCCATAATTCTCCTGAAGCGGTTAAAAACAGAGAATGAAATTCTCCACATTCTATCTGTACAATATTGAGTCTAGAAAAGCTTGTTTTGAGTGGTTTGAAGGATTTCACTTGGAGAGTGTCCACTCCAAGTCCACATTGACCTCTTGAATTATCTCCACACGAATACACACCGTCGGTGGTTTTGATAAATGTAAATTCAGATCCACAAGAAGCAAACAAAATTTTTCCTGAAAATTGAGCTACAAGGCGAGTGGGAGAAGGATAAATATTGGCTGAAGGAAGTGACATTTGGCCAGATTTGTTTTTTCCACAAACCCACACATTATCTGTAGCTTGATCTGTAATGAACATGGTATGATATCTGCCACATTTTACGTCTCTAATTAATTCTTTTGGTATTCCATTCATGCTAGATTCTACCATTTTGAAAATTGGAAATACTTTTGTGAGATTTCCCTGTTGCAACGTGAACAACATTCATCAAATAAAAAGGAATGAATTCGAGTAAAAATGACAGTGGGTTTGTAACAAACACGTATGTGTGGAAATTTTCAAACATTTTACCCAATTTTGAGCCACAGAATTTTCAAAATAAATTAATTGCATTATTATATGATCATAAATTGAAATATTACGATAACTATAAATTAATTGTGGTGTGTGAATGACTTACCATTGCAAGTTGGCCGTAATTATTCTTTCCACATGCATAGATTTGATTGTCTTTCGTGATGGCTATAGTATGATAATGTCCACAAGCCATGATTTTAATATTTGATGGCACAATGGCAGGGTTGTTCATACGCGTAAAAGACGTAACCTTTGAACTATCAGAAACAATATTTCCAATTCCGAGCATACCAAATGCATTGCTACCAGTAACATAGTACGATGAAGAGTCCTCACTAGCACTTGTCGCATTACCAGAACTAGTACTTGAGTTACTGCTGCTTGCTTTTGCAAATGTGAGTTGTAAACTTTCTTCTTCATACAATTCATCATCACTGGAGTCATCAAATTGTTGTTGCATTTCTTCAAGCTTTCTCTTGGAGGGCGTATAGGGAGACATGGTATCATAGCCTCCATCAAACGTTGGATCAACGGATGACATAACGGGGTTACTTCTAATAGAATTTGTTGTTGTGGATTGAATACTATTCAACAGATGATTGGAGATACTTTCCGATGACTGTTGTTGATTTGTGCTCGATTGGAAGAGCCGGGTTAAAGTGTTCGGAAAGACAGGATGAGCAGATGATGGAAGCGATGATTGAATCGGTGTTATTTGTTCATCATCCTCTCCATCATCATCATCATCATCCAGTAAAACAATTTCAGGATGTTGTGCGGGAAGCATCTTTGAAAGAGTATTATTGCTGTTGTTGTTGTTGATTGATCACTCAAAGAGAAAATTTTAACGCAGAGTCAAACGTTTGCACCTCCTGAAGAAATTCAAGCTCTGCAGGATGTATTTTTTTTTGAAAGACGTCTTAATAATTGGATACTCTTAAAAGTTAAACTCTATAATTTTGAATGCCATCATGAAGGTATAGGTGCAAAGAATTGAAACTAAAGTTTTGGTCTTCACAACCACTAAACTGTGGTTACCTGGTGAGGTTCATGTTTACAAATTCCAAAAAAAATTGGCTAGTAGTTCCACAAGTGACAAGGTATCATTCAATGAACATTTCAAACCTTTAACGTCCGTAGATTTGTGTTGAAATGGTAAATTGCATCAAATGGTTCGAAAAGATTGTTGAAATTGTACTTTTATGATTTGTGTTGCAAAAAATGTTTTTCATTTGTACATCATTAATGATCCGCATCTTTACAAAATGAAGGAAACACCAATCGTTATCCACCTATCACTCATATTCCCACAGTAGTGTCCTTAATTCTGTGAGACATTGTATCCTTGTGTTTCATGCCATTGTTTGACATTGTTGTTTGACATTTCCGCGGAATCAAGAACCACAATTCTTGCAGCTAGGGTATGTTAGAAGTCAAAAACACTAAAAAAATATATCGCTGACGATTCACCACATAGAGCAACCCTTCCGTTCGTTTTTTTGACATTTCCGCGGAATCAAGAACCACAATTCTTGCAGCTAGGGTATGTTTGTTGATGCTCTATGATCATCATCGTATCCCACTTACAATTATTATATTCAAATCCCTTTGGACCTCTTCTTTTCAGAAAGTCTGTGGTCATATAATTGGACTATTTCTATTTGAATACAAACAAACACGTTACGAATCGTACATATTCGTGGTGTTCTTTGTATTTCTGAATCCCAAAGTTCATCAACCTCAAAACATCATCACTCTCCTCCTGTTCCCAATACTGGACCCGATATCGATATCCGCTCTCTATCTCCTTGTTGTCATTCCTATCAAATTTGGACTCAAAAATCGTCATCACGTGGTCCATCATCATCACCATCTCCAACAACACGTCGACAATTCATCACTACAGAATAATCCATTATAATTATTATTATTATAGTTGTCATCACCAAATTTTCTTTTACTGTACCATACCAAATATCCTCCTCATCACTCTCTTTTCATCGTACACTATGAATTTTAATATCAAAAACATTGGAAATTTATGGGATGAGATTTGTAACTTGATCATCCGACCCCAACGATGTATCTATGAACCCTCTATTGCACTCGGACCTAAATTATTTACTCTTGATAATCGAATTTTTGAAAGAAAGGATTTTCAGTTGACAAACTCGAGAGGAAAAGTTATTGAATGCTCACATTATCAACCTATTGAATCGCAAAGAACAAAGGAAAAGTTACCTTGCGTGATTTATTGTCATGGTAACTGTGGATCAAGATGTGATGCATTAGACGCTGTCAGGTGAGTGTCAAAGTTGCTTTGGATTTATCGCACTTCAACTTTTATGATTGACATTGTGCTTGATATTTATATTGGTCTAATTGGAATCATTCGTCAAAAATATCATTTGCCCCACAATTTTCAATACTGCACGTGCCATTCGTGTGTGATCATGACCCACATATCACATGACCTGCTTGGTCTTTTTGACAACACAATGATGATCATACATTCTTGTTCTCGACACTCAACTCCCGTTTTCAAATTCAAAACTACAACACGTGACAGTATTTTACTTCCATACAATATAACAGTGTTTGCTTTTGACTTTACAGGATCTGGCTTATCTGAAGGAGATTATGTGTCACTTGGAAATTACGAAAAGCAAGATGTTGGAACTATTGTTGAATATTTATGGTCAACCAAGAGGGTGAGTAGAATTGGCTTGTGGGGCCGATCGATGGGTGCTGCTACATCCATCATGTATGCATCCATAGATCAAAGTATTGCTGGAATTGTTGTTGACAGTCCATTCACATCTTTGGAAGATTTAGCAATGGAACTCGTTCATTCGTATCAATCTTGGATACCGAAAAAGATGATCAAAATGGGTATTAATCTTATTAGAAAATCAATTATTGGAAAAGCTGGTTTTGATATTCGTTCATGTGCACCTATTGAATGTGCTGGCTCCTGTTTTGTTCCTGCACTTTTTGCTCATGCCGAGAATGATGATTTTATCAAAATTCATCACTCTGAAAAGCTCTATGAAACCTATGCAGGTGACAAGAATATGATTCGATTCGAAGGAGATCACAATAGTGCAAGACCCGATTTTATGTATGACTCTGTGTGCATCTTCTTCTACAATGTGCTTGTTAGCAATGATAAGGAATTGGAAAATAAGGATATTCCAAAAGGTTCAATGGCTCACAAGAATGACGTAGGAGTTGTGACAGAAAAAGGTCGACAAAGTAAGTATCATGACTAATTAGAATGTATTCCATGTTAAGATGTCCATCACTTTTTGAATCCATTCTAACAACACACCATATTTTTCCATATGATGACACCATACCCAGTTGCTCTTGAACATGGAGAAGGAGAATACTTTACTGATTTTTTAGATTCTACCTCAGAGTCACCAGCGAAAAAGAACCCTTCTGCATCCTCAAAAATTTCCATACCAAGAGAAGCTGCTCACAATGACTCCTTCTTCCAATCACCTTCCTATCCTCAAATGATTGTTCCAAGCTCTCTCAATGACAATTATGAAGGATTTGGAAATAGTGACGAAGATGAAATGCTCTTCCTAGCTCTCATTGAAAGTGTCAAAGAAGAGCTCAATGTCTGTAAGGATGAAAATGAACGAAAAGAACTCGAAACTCGATTGAAAGAGCTCTACGAACAAGCCAAAGTCAATTCTGCATTCCTATAAATTTAATGTCTTGCAGCGAGTGAATCTAATTAATTATTGAGCGACTGTTCGCGAACAATCAACCTCTGCGAAAGAGACATGATTCTCTCTCAATGGACAAACCCGCGCATGGAATCATTGCTTGTTACTGTACAGTCTCCACCACGCGATCCATTCGAACCTCGAAAAATATACCTCTCTCCATTTGGCAAACCCTCCCTACGGAAATGTCACTAAAAAATGCGGCCAGTGGGTTTGAGTAGTTTTACTGCGGCGGCCGTTTCATCACCCGCTCATTCGGTGGGTGCGTCATCTACAGTCATGGTTCTCTCTTCTCCAATCGCATCGCCGCATTCTTCGGGACAAACTCATCATGGGACGATGAACACGAACAACAACAACAACAACAATAATAATAATAATGGGAATCATCATCATCATCATTATCAACAACAGCACAACAATCATGCAACAAATATAATAGGAAATAATAATACTAACAACCACACCATGACAATTGGATCACCTCAGAAAGCAGTCAAGAGGCCAGCCATGATTCATGTGGGAGCCTATCAAGGAGGTTTTGGACTCGTCTCTCCGAGTCATTCGGGTGGAAATGAAGCCCAAATACCCTCAACGATTGTATCCCCCAGCGGTTCATCGGGCCACAACAACACGACCAACAACACAAATGGATCAATAATAACCTCTCCCTCAAACAAGACGCCATCTGGAAGCACCAGCAACACTTTTGTTCAACACAACACCATGTCTGTCATTAATTCTGGACCAAGAACCCCATCAGGAAAATCGAAAAAGCCACTCATGGAAAATGGAATCACCTCTCCCAAAGTATTCCGATCAACAGCCTTATCAATGATCCCATCCACTCCGACCAAATCAAGTCAACAACCATCCTTACAGACTTCCCCAGCGGGTGGATTGAATTCTCCCTTCAAAGAAATTCCTTCTCCTCTCGTTCGTAACTGCACTGCTATTGAGCCAAGGAGAAATATTCAATCCTCTGCAAATAATGGAATGGGAAAGATCACTCGCCAGGTGAGTGCCTCCTCTTCACCGTCTTCGTCGTCGTCGTCCTCTGCAAGCAGTACGAGCAGTAAGGGATCGACCACCCCCAGTAAAAAGTCCATCATGGAGGAGTTGAAAATTGATAAGGTCAAAAACTCATTGCATCGCAGTATATCTGTTCATGCCATTCCATCCATAGCTAACCTTTGTGACAACCTATTCAATAATCAATCTCGTAAACTCTCCTATTCTTCAGCAAGTGCGCAAGGCAAACGACCCACCATGGAAGATGAGCACTTCTTTGTGAAGAACATTGAAGAGGCTCTTAGCCAACCTCCAAATTTTCGATTTCATGCCATGTTTGGTGTTTTTGACGGGCATTGCGGACCTGAATGTGCACAACATTGTAAAGAGGTAGGTTTTGAAAATGATCTGACCTTGTTGAAGATGTTACCTTGATCATTCTATTTTGAAAATGCTTTTCTGTATTGACATTCTTCTCGCAAACAAAATATTACTTTTCTTAACGATCGACAAATGACGAAGAACTTATTTCAAATTTTGGCAAGTAATCGATTTTTCCTTCAGGACATTGTTAGGGCCTTTGTTGAAAGGTAAGTCCATGACATGCATTTTGCATAAACATGACCACAAATTATTCCTTGCCCCTCATTAACTTTGATTGGTTCTACCAGCTTTGAAGCTTGTGACATTGAATTCAAGCAAAAGTTGTTCGGAGGTTCAGACGATTCGCTCTTTTCAGCAGAAGAATATTATGCTGGTTGTACAGCCAATGTTTGTGTTTTAAGGAACGATGATTTATATGTCGCAAACCTTGGAGACACAAGGTGTGTTCTCGCCCACAAAGGTTTTGCTATTCAACTTTCAGAAGATCACAAACCAAGCAATAAGGATGAGAGGATGAGGATTGAAAAAAACGGAGGAATTGTTTCATTTGGAAGAGTGAATGGAGCTCTTGCCGTATCAAGAGCCTTCGGAGATTTTGAGTTTAAAAAGAAGGGTTCAAATCTTGTGAGCGTCGTTCCTGATGTTTCTCACTTTACACTAACCAAAGACTCTGATTTCATCATTATTGCATGTGACGGTCTTTGGGATGTCATGTCCTCGTCTGAAGCAGTCAAGAACGTCTATAATTATCTTCAACAATTCAAAGATCCAAGAAAAGCTTGTGAAAAACTTGTTGAAAAAGCTCTCAAGGATGGTTCCATGGATAACATTACTGTTATTTTGATTTTGTTGAAGGAGTTGAATAAAACGTGATCTTTTGTTGAATCTATCGATACACCATTCTCTTATGCGTGCGCAACGACTTTCGCTGGACTAATTCTTGTCCATTATCCAAGCGAAGCTCTGCTCACACATCCAGCGAAAAAACTCGTTGCTCACACATAAGACTACTGTGTAGATTGAAGAGGCGAATTCATGAAATAATTTTCAAAATTAAAAAAAATTAAAAATGCTCTCATCTCTTGCGCAGTATGGTTCTGATTCCGAAGATGAATCATCAGCATCATTCGCTCCAAGCAGAGCAACCAACATGTCTTTGGCTACAAACAACAAGAGCAATGCTGAAAAAACGAAATTGAATAATAATATCAAACAACAAGAGGAAGCAGTAGTCGTTACGACAAGTACGAAAAAGCAATCCGATCAAGAGGAAGTGATTATTGAATCCATAGATGATGAAGTTGGAGTATCAAATTTTAATTATAAATCAACTTCATCAAGGACAAATAATTATTCCGAATCTCCAAATCAACCATCGAATTTTGTGCATAACGCTCCTTCTACCACCAAAACAACCACAAACAATGTTTCATCATCGTCTTCATCAACAACCACGATAACGGAAGGTAAAAGAAAAACAAAGAGAAAGAAGGTTCCGAGTGCTCAAAAAGCTCTCTTGATGCAACTCGCCGAGCACTCACTTTTTAATAATTCTAAAGAATCATCTGAAACAACAACATCAACAACAAATAAGAGAAAATTGTTTGAAGAACAAGAACGATTTCTCGATGATGACAGCGATGAAGAACTCAACGATGAGGAGGATCACATGTTTCATTCAACCACACCAGGTAAAAAACAAAAATCGGAGACCACGAAGGAAGAAGTCTCTTCGTCGGATCACGAAGAAAAGGATACTACCAAGTTATACTTTCCAAAATCAAAAGATAGATTACCCTTGAATGAACAAAATGAAGATGAATATAACCTAGGACGAGAGGAAGAGGACGAGGAAGAAATTTATAACAGCCTGAAAGACATTCAAGAGCAAGATAATACAAATCCACAATCCATTCCCGAAGATATTCTCGCAGAAATGAAACGTCAAGGCATTGATGTGGATCAACTAGGACAAGTCGAAATTGTGGACGTGGGAGAACATGGAGCGAGTGAGTTGGTGAATTTAGAGGTGGAAAGAAGAAGAGCTCTCATTGAAAAACACAAGCGAGAAATTTACATGACAAAGGATGAACAAGAAGCTCTCAAACAATTTAACTTTACAGTGGAAGGAGCAGGAAACAAGCACCGTGTTAAGGTTGCAAAAACAAAAAATCAAATTTCATTCCTCGCCCAACAAGCAACAGGACGAGAATTGGAAATGGCTGAGAGATTGGAAAAATCGAGACAAAGCAATTCCTCTGCAAAGAAGAAATATGGATGGAGATAATGCATCATGATGATAATAATTGAAACAATGCTTTTCATGGTGGAAGTGTGTGCTTGATGAAAATTTTGTGAGTGACTGCATATGAAATTGAAAATGAAGGAAACAAAGATGCATCTGTATCATGTAAATTACTGTAAAGATTTTTTCTGCAGTTCTTTCCCCCTATTTTCATATGAGACAATAATACAATCATTCCCTTGTTTTTCCATGTGGAAATGGTGAGAAAAGGTATGCAGATGATAAGAGTATGATGTGTAGACTGATATGATTGTTGACATTTCCACAAAGTGGACCAACCAAAGATACGCATGAACGGATATGACATGGATTTTATTCCCACTTCTTGACATCACCTTCATCACGATTCACTCCATAACTGGAATCCAAAAAGTACGACACACTAAAAGCAACCAAATACAACACAAAGATCAATGGCACTAAATCAGGAGGCACCGGAGACCCATCCACCACCTGATCTGCTCTCTTTGAAGTGTCATCTCCAAAGTAGGCATACACATTCACTGCTGTCGCTGTCAAACCATACACCACAAAGGCACTCCAAAACTTTTGATCCAAATTTCTTCTTCCACCCACCACTCGAATTTTTGCAGCCAAAATTCCAATCATTCCCAATCCAATCCTTACCGAAGTGAATGGAGGAAAGAGAGTGACATCAGGTCTGTGTACAAGGACATCCAACACCCAATGTGAAACCACACCTAAAAACAGAACGCCATACAAGGACAAGAAGGATCTGTGATGATGATGAAGATTGGACACGCTCTTCTTAGAGTTGAATTTTTGAACCATTGAATACAAGATGGTAAGAATGAATGTCAAGATCAAAGAACCTGTCAAGGAATGTGAATATTCCGAATGAATATCGGAAGGGAAAATGGCATTCCTTCTCATTAATTCCACATTAAATGTCGCATGTTCATGACACAGAAAATCATACGGACACTCGTGCGACACGTTCATTTGACACAATAATTGAAGTGTGAAATAGGCAATATCGATGAGTTGTGTGGAAACCAAAAGCCACACCAAACTCACATCGGGAAAGAAGAAGTGAAGAACTCCAGCGGGTCCGTAATGACCTTGAAACATTTTTTAGTGGTTGGTGGCATGTTGTGATTTCGTTGTTGTTTGGATTGAAAATGGTTGGGAATGGAAGGATTTGAGATTGAGGATCAGATTTTGCGATGGAACTTGTCCTTACGTGTGAATATGCGCAAAAATTGTCCACAAAGTCACTTTGAGCGTGTTACATTGTAACAATCACTCTCTGTCTCTATTACGGTTTTTTTCACTTCTTTGAAGATGATATCTTTGAATCATTTCCTTTTTTAGAATGTTCATCGACTTGATATCAAGTCGAGCAAGAATTCTTATCCAAACAAAAACAAAATGCAACAACCCTTACCACACCAACCAGAGACTTCTTCTCATCCACAGCTCCACCAACAACAACAATCTCCACCAAATACTCAAGAATTCACCTCTCCCATTCTTAATTCCTCTCAAGACAAGAACAAATCCAAGTCATTAGCAACGATCACATTAATGATACAAGAGGATGATGATCCTCCCCACCCGTGTGCAGTGTCTAATTCCAACGTTTTGGAACCATCACAACCTCAACATGGAGAAACTTTAATTGAAAAAAATCCTGAACGAATGACTCTTGCAACCACAGTTGGAACGAGCAACAACAACAACAACTCCATGATCATCATCAATCCTTCTGATGTCGTTCCTGCAGGTCAGAATTCCGATTCGCACTTTCGATCCTTTCTTTCAGCACTTTCCTTTTTAGTGTTCACTCGAAAAACGTTTTACAATTTTTTCAAACCTCAACATGAGAGAGAATTTGTTCCATCGAGTCATTCTGTGGTGGCCAACAATGCTCCAAATGATGATGAGGATGCACGAGGAGGTCAACAAAGACATGTGGAATCACCGATTGCTCAAAATAATGTCACAAATTCGAGAATTTGGAAAAAAAAGAAACGTTTTCACTCATCCACACATCATGAATCAGATTCAAGAAGACGAAACAACAACAACAACCAAAACCACACAAGGACCAACACAACCAATTCCAATCCTCATTTCCTCAGTTCTTCCTACAATTTAAAAAAAGAATTTTACTCCAAATCCACAACCTGTCACATTGTCTTTGATTATGTGATGGAATGGCTTGTCGTCCTCGTGACAGGTGTCATTGCTCTCATTGTGTTCCATGTTCCATATCCTCAAACCTTGTACTTTCGTTTGGATGATCCACGTATTGGTTATCCCAATTTGGGAGTTCAGACAATTCCATTTAATTTGATTGTGATTGTGTTTGTGGTGAGTGTGCCGATTGGATCCTTGTTGGTGTTTCAGTTGGTGTTTATAAGGAATATTCATGATTTGCATCACATGTTATTGGGATATATTCAGTCCTTGTGTAAGTTGTATAATATTTTTGTATACATTGTTTTTGATGTGTATATATATGGAAAAATATAATATATAATAATAATATTTACAAATATATAAAATATTATTGCAAATATGGAAACTTATTTAATATCCTAATTTGAAAAACACACTTCCAGGTTTCAGCATGTTATTCATGATGTTCTTTTGGTTCTTCTATCCCGATTACCGACCAAGTTTTCTCTCCGAATGCAATCCTATTCCGTCTCGAGTTCAAGCTCTTCACAAACAACGAGCCAATCCATTCAATTCCATTACCTATTATTTACCTCAAGAGATTTGTTCACATCCGGAAAGATATTTAGGCATGAAAGTGAATATCACTCCAGCTTTCCCGAGTGGACATGCTTCGAATTTGTTTGCTGTATGGATTTATGTCTTGTTGTACTTGTTTGCGAAAACAAAGGCTGTAAGTGTTGAAAGTGCGGTTTGTGTTTGATTTCATTGTAAAATAATATTACTGAATTGATTGATGGTTGTTGTGGAATGTAAACTTTTATGGAACTCTTGTTGAATTGATGGTTGTTGTGGATGATGATGATGCATGGATGGATTGTGGAATTGTTGTTGAAACTAAATAGCTCTCCTTAATGCAAGATCGAAACAAGTACAATCATAGAAATGGTTCTCTCACAAGTACTGCTCGAAGAGGAATTCTCTTCTTTCCATTTGTGACTTTATTGATATTGGCATGTGCTGTTTGGATTGGGGTATTTTCTCGAGTGTTGGATTATCAACACACGTGGACTCAAGTTATTGTTGGAACCATTATTGGGGTGTTTTGTGGGGTTTTGGTCTACATGTACAAGTTTGGAAGTTTGTTTGGACATAATTCACACATACCATTGTATTATTATTGGAAAGAGGAGTATGAAAGTTCTTATGAAAAACCAGATGAAGAAGCTTCAAATGAAATGAACAGACGCCCTTAATGTTTTTGTATGCACACGAATCTCTTTAAATGCCAAACGGACAACAAAAACAACAATCTACTCGTTTGCACCACATTAAATTTTTTGAGCATATTAAATGAAATTGATTTGAATTGAAAAATTATTGGAATCATGTTTTATATTTCATACACAAATTGCTTACTTCTTTTCAGCCTTGTCCTTGTTTCCTTTTCCTCCTGATTTGTTGTAAATCATTGACACAACAGAAACAGGAACAGAGATATAACTGGTTTCCCATGGACTCCAAGGCCAATAAGGATACAATGAACTCGATTGCGCACCATAGATCAGATAACAGAATTGAGCACTCAAGAACTTAGACAACGCCTTATTTGGATTGTTGACTTGAACAATAAACTCTTCTCTTGAAGGTTCACTTGGAGGCTTGAGTTTGGAAAGAATTCCTGGCAATGGTGGACCTGGTAAACTGATTCTTGGCAAGCCTGGTAAACTTAGACCTGGAATCTTCAATTCAAGCAAGTTAAGACCTGGCAAGTTGTATTTACCAAGGTAACCAGCAATGGCCTTCAAAATAGCAGCGACAAGTACTGGTGGATATGGATCAAATTTGATATGAGGAACTGCAACAGAGCTCAATTGTTCAATAAGGTCAGGCAACTTGGGGAATGTCTCACCAGTGGCCAAATTCTTAACTGCAGTATTGTCAAATTCAGTCTTATTCTTGTAATTTTCCAAAGCTCCCTTCAACAAGGCCATCATGTCTTGATAGGGCAACTCCTTTGGTTGTTCAAATTCGAGAGTAGGTGTTTTACCAGATTGTTCCAAGTTGTAGACAGCATGGTTGATACTTCTGATGAGAGAACTGATGGTAATAGAACTTGGAATTTCCAAATCCATATCGTCATTGTACTGCTCCAAAATTTCACAAATTTGAAGAAGCAAATTAGTTAGCTTCATGTTAGGCAAGTTTGGAAGATCCAATTCAACAGTCTCTGAGAGTGTGTCAAACATTTCAGAAGCAACCTCCAAGGAATGGGCCACATTGGCTTGTGGAAGACCATTCACGCTGACTTGGGTATCAACCTTGTCTTTGTACAAACTGGTGGCAGCTGTTCTAAGCAAGAATCCAGGGCTGTTGAATTTTGGCAAACCAGGAATATCAACAACAGGTTCCTTTTCAGTTCCGATGGCCTTTGTAAGAACATCTTCAACAAGGAATTTCAAAATCTTGAAAACAAACTTTTTGACTGCCTTTGAAATGGCCTTTTCTGTCATTCTTTCCTTCATGGATGTAATGATATTGGTATAAATCTTGAGACCATAGTTTGACAAATCCTTCATCAAGTCTTGAGCAGCGTTTGCAATAGCGCCCGCAGCACCTCCGACCACTTGAATGTTGTCTTCTCTGAGAGGGCCATATCTAGTGGAGTAAATGTTGTTATAAACATAACGGTGAGCTCTTCTCTTGATGAGTTCCTTCTTCTTGTAGTCAAAGGCAAATGTGTAAAGAGCCTTGTTGGTAATAACAGCGAGACGAGTTTGTACTTGTCCTCTAAAGTTAGTCTTGTTGATCGAGTAGGCCTTAATGACTGTCTCTGGGAATGGTGCGTCCTCGTTGTATTCTTGTTTCTCTTCGCCTTCCTCTTCTTCGTGGATAGGTTCATCTCCATCTTCGTCATCATCTTCCTTCTTTTCTTCCTTCTTATCTTTTTTATCCTTCTTTTCATCCTTCTTGTTACTCTTACACATGACTTCCTTATAGTATGTTTTCAAGCAAATTTCAACAGCTTCTTGATCGATTTCGTCCAATTGAGGGAAGCATTTTCTCTTTGAGAGTTCAATGAGTGGCTTCAAGTTTCCATATCTGACTGCACTAGAGGAACAAATTTCGCGAACAGCACGAACCAAAATGTCCAATTTCTCATTATCTAGAGTTTCATTATTTTCAAAAGCTTGATCAGCCTCGTCGAGGATGCATCCATAAGCAACTGCTCGTGTTACATCGTAGCTGTAAATATAACCCCAATATTCTCTGTAAACACCTCTCATTTCCAATGTTCCATTGGTCAACATGGCATAGCTGTGCCAATATCTCTTCTCAACACCGTCATCCTCGGCATTGGAAAACACAACTCTCTTGAGAGATTTCTTCAATCGTTCATGTGTGACTGGATAATCGGACTTGGCCCATCTGAAAGCACGAGGCAATGTTTGAAGGGAGTACCAACAATCCCAACGAGCTGTTGTTGTGTTTGTTCAAATAATTTTACAAGTTAATTTTACAATGTTCCAAGTGAGCGATGAAAATGAATGTGCCAATGAAATTCAACATACCCATATTATTCAAAGCAGAGTCCATATTTCCAGCGTTTTGGAAACTTTGCCAATCAAAAACAATTTCAATATCAAAGTTTGGATCGTCGACTTCTCTCTTGATTTCCTCCTTAGTCTTGGCAATACGATCCTCCAAAACCTGCTTAAAATAGGATGCACTCACTCCGAACAAGGCGTTCAGAGTCTCACTCACATAGGAATAACTTGGAACACCGGCGGCACCCAAACCTAACTGAACAGAAATTGTCATTGCTCCATCCTTCAAAGTAATGGTTGGTTTGGTTGGATTCTCAGCTTCTTCCAGTTTTTGTTTGTGTTTCTCTGCTGTGGTTAATTCTTTTCCGACTGGTTTTGGTGGTGGAACAGCAATACATTGAAGTCTAACTTGAGCCAATTGGCGAGCAATGACTTCACGGGCATTTCCTCCATACTCTTGAATCATCGTTTGGAGAGTATCAACAATTTTACCGAGAACCAAGAATCCATTCCACGAGCACAAGACTTCGTATGAGAAAGGAAGGAGATCTTGTTGAATATTTTGTTCAAAGGTAGCCCAATCCACAACAATGGAGACATCAGTACCGAGGCATCCCTGAAGACGGGATTGAAGTTGTCCAATCTGCCCTTGGGCTTCTTGAATGATGAGATCAAGTTCTGGCATTGTACTATTAAAATGTGAGGTTGCAATGGTAATTAATCAAAATTTCGGTGAGTGTTATCATTGATGATAGAGTGAAAAGGAGTCGTGTGATATGAAAATGAGAGAATTTGGTGGTCAGACCAGAGGGTTATAATCATCGTTAACGCGACAATAATCGATGTAATCATTCATGGTGGTTCAACAAGATGATGAAACATTGTTAAACCGGATAGGAAATGGGTATCATCCAAAAGGTGATGTTTCAGCCAAACAGGTATCATATAGACAGTGAAACAGGTGTACAAGGAGTAGAGGAAGAAGTAACCATGAGATCAAAACACAAGATGAGAGGAAGCGATGACAATATCATCATAGTCGTGCCAATAAAATCACAGGATCATCAGGCAAATTATAATTTTCGTTTGTTATCCAAAATGAATAGGATAGAATTAGTCGTAAAAAAGGCTTTGTTGCCCCACCAACACTACCACCAACCTCTACGTACCACTTGAATGTTTATGAAAAGTGTGTTTCGGCCACAAGGTGTTTTGAGAATTTTTTATTCGCTCAAAAAATATTCTTCATCCAGTTTGAATTACCATACATATGCGCCAACACTAGTGTTCCGTGGAGTTCCAGCACCAACCGGCCTATCCGCAATATTTGAGAGGTTAATTGCAGAATGGAAGAAGACCTCTGAATTTGTGTTCAAGACATGACGTACAGAAGCAATGAGATGCAGATTCATCATGTCAGTGTTCTTGTCTCAGTACTGAAACGTTCAGCGTCAGCGCTCACTTGCCCGCTACAAAGAGGAAAATAAAGCCAAACGCTCCAACCATCAACAAGATCAACAACAGGGATCCCATCAGTAAACATTGTCTTTTGAACACAAATCTCAACAGTATAAATACGTTTCCAAAAGCATACCTAAAAAATAGTTTCCACACATTTCAGTTTCCGTCATCATCCAACCAATAGTCAATGAGCTACACATGAGAATTCACACACAAAAAACCCGACTTACCTGAAACCATCTTGCATATTAAGAATAGTATAAAAGTAATTCGCAACAATCTCTGTGGTGCTTCCAGAAGAAAAGATGCGATACAACATGAGATCCAATAGGGGAGCTATCATGTACTTTTGCCATCGACAACTTCTCGAGTAGCTCTTCGGAGTGTTATTGTGGAAAGTTCGTTGCGACGACTTGGAGGAAGCCTTTGGTAGCCGATCTGGAATCTCTGTGTCACAATATCGAATATCATCCGACGAGGTCATGAGCCACGGAATGAACAACATGTAGTGAATGGCTTGTTGAAAATTTGAACAAAATTCATAGTCAAAGACTCTGGAACTCTTTGAATGCAGAGAGTGAGTAGTACTACTGCTGGTCGGATTCTTCTCCAAGGTGATGAGAGAGTGATGTGATTCGCCATTGGGGTGATGTTCATCTTCTCGAGGCAGAGATGAAACAAGTTTGTTCGCTTCAGATCCTTGCTTTCGTTGTTGAAGAACCAATTCCTTAATGGCCTCTCTCAGAATGAGTGCCGATTCCAGACATATGGTCATTCCCTGAGCATAGACTGGATTCATGGAACTCACCGAGTCTCCCATGGCAATAAAACCACTCAAAAACGTCTCGTTATGATTCACAGGATTCTCAAAGTGGAAGAATTGGTCATAATGTACAAAGATGTTTCCTTCTTTTTCGTAGGGAGGAGGAATTCGGAGAGGTTGATCCTTCATACATTGCAAAACACTGATGAGATCCTTCTCGAATGGTGAGCCTTTGGCAAAGTATTCAATGATTCGTTCTTTGGCATTCTGTAAGGTCAATCCTTCTGATATTCTTCGATTGTTTTCCTTCTCAGCGTCGGCAATGGTTATGAGATTGATCATGAACATATTCCTCTCCATGGGTATGCACAAGACTCCTTTCGTTTGTGGATACGTTAAGAGATGATAAAAGGCATAATAGTTGCGTTTCTGGTTGTGGTCTATTTCGTTCCATCCACCATGATCATGGTCATCCTGTGAAGAAAAAGAGTGAGATGAAGCAAAAGCATCCTCCTCCTTATCATCATGCTTATCATCATCACGTACAATCGTCACTGGTGAACGCAGTAACTTTCCTGGAATTCCCTTCTCCAACAAATCAAAAGCTTCTTCATTGGGTTCAAAATAAAAACAGTGATATCGAACCTTATTGTTAATTCGTGAAGAGAAGAGTAAATGTTGAGGAAGAGAGGATTCATCTTCAATTGTTGATTTATGTCCCTCTATCCCAAGGAGACCATCATCAGATCTCTGTAATGAAGGATCCACAGTTGCTCGTATCATGATTTGTTCGACACCTCGAAGCAATTTGGAAAATTCGGTGGAAGTCTGAATACCTCCACAATTCACTAAAAGATCACAATCCAGCTCGATTGTATCGTCGTCATGATGATCATGGCTGTTTGTATGTTTCAGAGTGTCATTGTTTGTCGTTGGTGGTGATGTTGTTGTTGAGGAATTGGATGTGGTATGAGTGGAATGTACATGATGATGACGAGTGGTTCCTCCACCTCCTGATGTTTCCACTTTCTTCATGATCACTCCACAGACTTGGACATTGTACTGTTGTGGCTGAGAATCAGAGATTGATTGGGGCATTGGGGGTTGTTGTTGTTGTTGATCCGTGCTCACCGAAGAGGATGAAGAATTAGCATTAGACGACAACTTGGTACTCCTCCAACAACAAGCAGTTCCTTCTTTTTCACTTCTTCCTCTCGGTTCCACTCTCACCTTAATTCCCTTTCCATTCGAAAGGACCTGATAACCATCATAGACTTTGATATTCCTCGCTCCCTTAAACACATACTCTCGAATGGTACTCTCCCACATTCCCCTCGACACAATAGTAACCTCATGATTTCCGTCCGGGACTCGTTTCAGAGGTTGAGAGTTTTCCGAGTAGATGAGTTTCAAGTGTTGGGAGGCGTTGAAATAATTCTTCATGACAAATCGAGGAGGACGAGGACGAGTCGACTCCAAGTGGTTGTTGAGCAGCACTCGATCACTTGTTGGTGGAGATGATGAATCTTGCTGTTTGGGTTGAAACTTGTCTTCAAGATTTGGACGAGGAGGAGGAGGATGTGTCTCATAAACTCTTGTTTCCAATGGTGTTTTCTCTTCTTCTTCTTGTTGTTGTTGGTGGTGGTCTTGTTGAGATGATGGTGTTGTTTGAGGCGACCATAGTTGAGCTGATTTCCTTCTCACCTCTTGAATAATACCTGGAAATAGTCGATCCAAGACACTCTGACCTCGATTCACGAGAATATGAGGTAAATCACCGTGCCGATGTTTCACGACGGATTCACCTTCCTCATATTTGGATCGCTCAATCAGGACCACTTCCTTAAAGAAGGGTGATAAGCAACTGGCACTCAGCAAGCCAGCAATGGAACCTCCAATGATGACCACTCGTTCACCCAACATCATGAGGGAAGATTTGTCCTCTACAGAAGTAGGATCATGATGTTTCTTTTGCTCGGAATTTACGAATAGTTTTCTCGAGTTACAACCCTCTTCATGAAGAGGTTGGATGCAGAAAGGTGGACAGACTTGTCCCTCCACAATGAAAGGTTCAATGCGTTCGAGAGGCATTTGGCAATCGAGAATCCATTTCTTCAATTGCAAGCATCTCTGGAGCCATTTGGAAAGTTTGAGGACTGCCGCTACCATTGCGAGAATGGTTATGAGAATCAAGATTAAGTAGGTGATTCGTTCTTTGGAGACTTTCTTTCGAAGGATGTCATTCATGTTGTTTGTGCATGCATGTTTTGATGATGGGAGGTGTTTGTGTGGTTCATCATTATGTCGAGTGTTGCAGTCACCTTCATCAAGATCCCATAAGATAGATGATATCGACCAGAGAAGACTTAGCAGAAAAAAGCTTGCCATAACAAGTAATATTTCTCTTCGCATATTTACGTGATGAAATTGTGGCATATGATATTAATGTGTCTACGTTGTGATTGTTCTTCACTCTTTTCCCGATTGATCAAAGTCAACCAACAATATAATATGAAATAACAAGCTTGTGGGATTCTTTTGCAATCGATCCAAATGGTGATGATGGTCAATAATAATATTAATAATGTAAATAATGTAAATATTTGAACCTGAAAGGAACAAACAGTCATCGAAGAGATCCAAGAGCAAGATTGCTTGGTTTCTTACAAAATGTGCTCGCACAAACGTGAGAGATATTGGAAGGTTGACTTTTGTTTCAGAATTCGAATCAGCAAAACACCACGAAAACGATCAATTTTTTTCTTGTTCAAGCAAGGTCCCTTCCTAACTAACGGATATCTCACTTTGCAATTCTTGTTATGAAATGACCAATTAGGTTTCTTCTGCGTCTCTATTTGGAACTTACGCTCATTTTGTGGGTTGGATAGATAACAAGGATTCAAAGGTTTGGATAAAGGACAATTCAGGATTGCGAACTGTTTGGTAATGTGTCCGTGAACAAGTCATCATTGCTTACTATTGCCGTGTAGTATTATATATAATGCTTTGTATCAAGATTTGAAAGCAATTAAAAATAATATTTATAATGTAAATAATGCAAAAAATCAATCAAAACGTTGAAAAAAATTCAGGGATGGGTTTATTCGATGATAAACGTTGTTCGATGGTTTTATGTACATTATTTACAAGCCGAACGTAAGATACGTAGTGACTTCCTAGCAGGCACCCCGGAAGTAAAGGTGTTTAAACTGCTCACGATAACAGCAGCAACCCCTGGGATTCGAACGCTGGACCAGTTGGCTGCCACAGTTCCAGAAAAACCACTCAATCAAAACGTTGAAAAAAATGAAAGCCTTTCTTGTGCAATCCCTCAGCAAGTCAAGACCGCTATTCTCATCATCGGAGGCTCGTGTATTGAATTTTAGCTACAGTGTCATGGGTTCAAACAAAGTATTGACTATTGGACCTCATGTATTTGCAAATCTAGGTGCTTCTCGTAAAATTGATTCAAAAACATATGTTCCGAGGAGTGATATTTTCCCAACCTCATTCCGAAGTTATCATTACAATATAATTTATCGAAATAACAATACGGAAGAAAAAGATTTATCATTTATGGAAACTGAAGCATTCATCAAAGCGAATGAACAAATCACACAACTGGAGAAATCTTTTGCAGAGCTGTTGAAAAAGAAACGAAAAAATCAAACCTTACAGTATGATGAAGAGTTGGAGCGACAAAACTTGGTGTTCAGCACGAACAACTTGCTTGAGAGAGCTGAGGAAGACAATGGAGGAGACACCTCACTCATGCACCCTCTTCATTTGTACATGACATGGAAATTATCAAAATTACGTTCAAAATTATTGATGAGAGATTTCTACACTGTGGATCACAATATTCCAGAAGACGCAATTACCGAGAGTGTAAAAATGTTGGAGGAAAGACCCTATCTCGCCAACTTATTGAAAGAACAATTGATAGACCGTAATGAATTTGAAAAGTATGACAAGAATTTTGATCAAACGATCCAATTTCCAACCTACACAGGTCATGTTCAAATTCACTCTCCAGAAAATAATTGGCTTAAATATTACATTCATGACAAACTCTCGAACAGTTCAGTAGGCTCCATCATTGCTAAGAAGAGAGCTGTTTTTGCAGAGTTGGCCGAGTCCATGCAGAGTGGTTTAGCGAGCTCTCTCCAACTGGGACCTTCCATCGTGAAAAAAGACTTGTTTATTTTTGCCTTCTACTATGTCGTTCACTTTTTCAGCCGATTGAATCCAGAGGCCTATGATCAATGTAAGGAAGTGGTCAAGATATGGGACAAGGGTCTCAAAGAAGAATTCAAAGATGTTACCTTCAAGGATTGGGAAACCGATGTCGAGCTTCGTCTTGACTCTTGCATGTCTGTTCTCAAGGCCTTTCTCATTGGATTCACTTCAGAAGATGAGACCTCGGCCGAAACAATCAAAAAGTATGCAAAACTCGCCCAAAAACAAGATTCCAACAATTTTTATGTCTTTACACTGGATGTTGGCGAAGATCCTGCCTCCTTCCTCAGAAATATTGTAAAGGCTGAGAAGATTATCCTCGAAAAGGGCAAGCTCAAAACAATCAATCATTTACGATTTTTCCCCATTCTTTTCCATAAGGCCACTACCGTATGGTCTGCTGCTGCAGCCGCGAATGATCAGGTGGAACGAGGAAAAGTCGCAAAAGATGCTCTCAAACTCCTTCAACTCTCTTTCAACAATTTGCATGTACCCATGGATCCTATCGAAGTTCAAACCATGGCCGATTGTAAATTAATGATGGGAGAACCTGATCAGTCCTTGACATTGTATAAGGAATTTTTCGAAGTACAATTTCTGACCTCATCGTATCACATAACCCATGCGGTGGAGGTGGTCTCCTCATTGCTCCTCAGTGTTGGTGAGTCTGAGAGTGCGATTAAATCCCTCAATCGATACTGCAAATATTTCCCTGAGGATTTTACAGTTTCGTTGAGGTTGCATCTCATTCATGCGCTGGTGGAGCCTCCCAACAGTGACTTGACATCACTCATTAAATCCAATGATCCCTCTGTTCAAGCCCAATTAGCCAAAGGTGGTGACCTTCGTGCCAACAACTCCACACCATCCAAACTCTATCATGGAAAAACAGAGCGCGAACAGTTGGAATGGTGTCGAAAAGAGCTCAACAAACTGATGGATCGTCACGCAGAGTGGTTGGAAATGGATGATGCACTTTATCATTTCTACCAAGAAATACGCAACAAGGTGGAAATGAAATTGAAACAAGGAAACAAGATGCCGCAAAAACCAACAGTTCCTTCCGCACTCAAGGCATCCATGAGCAAATCTCTCTTAACGAAAAGCAGCGACAAGAAGAAGAACAAGTAACAGCCACAGCAACAAAACACATTCGACACGAATTTATTAAGCACACATGGAATACAGACAATCCCATTATTAGTAGTACGACTGAACCTACATACATGCACAAACACGTTGCCCATATTAGCTGAGTTTTACCTTTTGTAAGAATTCCTCTCGTTTGTACGCACCACCTGAAGGGAAGATCCAGGGTGTACATACGGTACATTGAATTTGCCTAAATTCCACCCATACCCACCTCACGATCGCGATCCACATTCATCTAATAATTCTGTAATTGGTAAACATTTTGTCTCTCACACCAACAAAGATACTTGTTGAGTAAACAATCCACATACAAAGTCGAATACGGAAATGCAGTGTTGACTTGTCATCCCTTACTAATCGATTAAAAACATCCAAACATAGAATTTGGGTTCTGTGAGTTTGACACTGAATGACTCGTCATAAATTAAGAAGATTGCATTTTTAAGCAAGTACCTTTTTCAGAGACATCTATTACTGCATGAAGATTTGATCCGAGACCATTGAATCATTAAAAGCCACAATGTCTGAAGGTGCGTGTTCACAACTATTACATTTCATTCATGTTGGATCTCCCTCTTTTTTTATCATCAAAAGAGATAAGGCGAGAAGAAAGAACAACAAAAAAAATTACAAAGTTCTTCTTCGCTCATAACATAATTCTCTGTGGTTTATTGAATTCTCTCAACCACCACCACCACGACTACGGAGGAAGTCTGTTCTCTCTCTCCATTATATCATCATCATTATCACCAGACCGTACAACCACAACGGTACAAGTAACAGTCCATTGTTGTTGTACAACTTCAAACGAGTTGTTGTTGTTGTTGTACAATATCTTTAAGAGAGAAGCCCATCACCATCCACAAAATACATTCCTCGTTCTAGGCTTGTTACATAGTCTTTTGAGTTGAACGTCGTTCATCATTTTTCAACGACTGCTATCGGAAATTAAGAGCCATAATCATTACCTTCAAATTGAACGACTCATACGGACGGTTGCTTTCAAAATTTGGCATACTTCTGAATAATATCATCATAGAAAAGAAGATACAAACGACATACATTACAGCAAACCATCATTAATACAAACAATCATGATTACAACAAAAGACAGCATTAATAACACTTCCCTTGATCATCAACATCATGTGCCTCCCCGAAGAAGGCATGCTGTGGTTGATATTGATCCATACAACCTTCATCATAAAGATGCTTCTGAATTAATAACATCTGCATCGTGGGCTTCAACCTCTCCACCCACCTCCAATTTGCAACATGATGATACCAACAAACTCGAATCAACACAAAACCCTCCAAACTTGCAATCACTTGATATTGATGTCGATGATAAGGTGAATCGTGTTTTAGTTGTAGATGATGACAGGGTGGCCCGACAGGTTTTAACAAAATTACTTGAACAATTAGGATTTGAAGGTACGTTTTTATCATCATCGATGAAATCTTAGTAGAGTCGCTTATTTATAATTGTACTGTTTGCTTTTTCGTAATTGTACTGCTTGATTTGATTTGCATTGAATGAATGATTCAATCTCCCCAACATTGAAATTTGATTCTTTCACACATGGCATCCTTGAATTGTGTTTTGTTCGCTCCCACAGTGAAAGCTGTTGAGGGAGGAAGACAAGCACTTGAGGTGCTCCGAGAGGAAGGAAGTAAATACAGGCTGCTGCTTGTCGATGTGCTCATGCCTGACATGGATGGACTTCAATTACTTAAAATCTTCAGACAAGCATACTCTGAAGACATGCCAATTATAAGTACGTACATACTCTCTGTTGTGAAGTTTCGAATGATAGCTTACAAATTTGTGTGCAATAATTAACATGATAATAACGTTTCCTCAATACTATATTAATCCTTACCCAAATGTGACATGTGATAATAATAATAATAGTGGTTTCTTCAAGCGAAGACCCCGATACAATTAATCAATGCTTTCAGAGTGGTGCAGAGGATTTCCTTCAAAAACCTGTTCAACTAGAGATTTTAAAAAGACGTGTGAATATGTGTCTTGAAGACAGAATGAGAAGGAGGAAAGAGAAAGCCTATCAAGAAATGTTAAAGAATGAACGAATTAGTCGGAAAAAACTGACTCTCCGTGTTAAGGAGCAAGAAAAAGAGTTGGAACAAATCAAATCACAAATGAGCAGTGCGGTTGAAACACCAATGCAAGTAGTCATGAAGACCATTGCCGATCTGATGGAAGGAAAATACTCTGTGGAAAACTATAAGGGAGCTCTGATAGCAATTTTAAGATCCTTAGGTTCGAAAGACCTTTACAAACCAGTCTTTTCTAACTTATTGAAGAAAGGAGAAATTGATGACTCCACTCGACGATGGCTTCAAACAGAATTCATGAATGAGGATACCAGCAAGTCGTCCAGTTCCCCAACTACGCCTGAGAAAATCTCACAACCTTCCTCTGCTTCATCCTTTCCAACTACTACTAACGAGAAAACACAAACTGCATCTACTCTCTCACTTAAACCTCCGTCTCCTCATCTCTACCATCCATTGAATGAACAACAAACCTCTCTTTTGCACAAACAAGTCGATGACATTGTTACGAAAGCCATTCCGGAAGATTTAGGCAGTCATACTTTCAATGCTATGAAGTATACGAGTGATGAACTGATCCAATTTGTGGTGCACATGTTTGAAAGTTTAGGTCTCATTGATACTTTCCAAATACCTCCAACAGAAATTGTGAATCTGCTACAAGTGGTTAAAAATTCATACCGCGAGAATCCATATCACAATTTTACTCACGCTGTTGACGTTACACAATTTGTCTATCACTGCTTACTCGTTGACAAGATTTCCGCAATGTTTACTCCACTCGAAAAGTTTGCCTTAATTTTCGCAGGTACCATGCACGACGTGTGTCACCCAGGAGTGAATAATAATTACCTTATTAATATTAAGGACGAACTTGCTCTCGTTTATAACGATGTGAGCGTTTTGGAGAATCATCACGCCTCTCAGGCCTTTTATATTCTCAGGAAGCACAACATTTGTGCAGGTTTAACAAAGGATGAATTTAGAGAGTTTAGACGACTAGTCATTAACACCATTCTCTCGACGGACATGTCCCATCACTTTGAGATTCTCACCAAATTCCAAACTCGTCTCCAAACAGGTGTGACTCTCTCCAAAGAAAGTAAGGAAGACAAATTGCAGCTTATGGGAGTCATTCTCAAATGCTCGGATGTGAGTAATGCTGTTCGCCCATTCCCAACTTCAGAACAATGGGCCAATCTCGTTCTCGAAGAGTTCTTTAGACAGGGGGACTCGGAACGAGAACGAGGTCTTCCAATCTCACCTCTCATGGATCGCCGAACTGTGGATCGTCCAAAATCTCAACTCAATTTCATTGACTACATTGCAGCTCCTTTATTCAATGCTCTTTTCACTTTCTGTCCTTCTCTCAAGGCGACTGTGGGAGAGACATTGCAAAAAAATAGAAGTCTGTGGGAAGAGAGAGCTTTGGCCAGCAGTCATCACCAGCAACAACAACAACAACAATTACTCACCTCTTTACCAAGTCATCAACAACGAACTGGTACGAGTGGTATGGGAAATACTCAACAAGAGTCGCATCAGAACACAGATCAAGTTCTTGTATCATCATCATCAGCAGCAGCGTCCACATCGGAAGGACCAAAATCCTCCACAACAACAACAGCAATACCTGTACTCATGGGAACCTTACCGGAACATTTGGCAAAAGCTAAAGGATTTACCATACTTCTCATTGATGATGAGAGCCAACAATTCGCGAAACAAATCTTACCAAGTATTCAAGCGCTCAGTTATACTTGTATCACAACAACCCCTTCACAGGCAACGTCGCAAATCAAGACTTCAAAAGCGGATATTATCATCCTCAACTACGATCTCGAGCATATCTCCGAATTGGTGCCAAAAATTAGACTCACGAACCCGAGCATTCCGATTATCACCATCTCTTCAACACCCATCCAAACAGATTGGTGCCAAGCAAGCTTTGTTCGCCCCGTGAATGTTGTGGATCTTCTTCACTCCATTGAGCATCATATTGAAGTGGCCTTAGACAAGGTTGAACCAATCGATATGGAAATTGCATTGGAACAAACAGGAGGAGAAGAAGAGTTCTTGTATGAAATGCTCGATGAATTGATCACAGCGGGAAGGGAACAAATTGACAAGATCAAACAATCCATCGAAACACGAGATTGGGCAAATATGGAGCTCAACTCTCACTCCCTTAAAGGATCCAGTGCACAACTTGCCTGTAAACCACTTTCACAATCTGCTTTAGCTGTTGAAACAGCAGCAAAGAATCAAAATGACACAAACATTCAAGCAAAGGTTTCGTTAATCGAGAAACGATTAAACGATTTGGCTAACTTTGTACAGAAGAAGAGACAATAAATCATGTAAATAGAATTTATTTGGAGGCACAATTTCACCATACGCTATACGATAATAGTGACTAGGATGCTCCACTCAGTTTTTGATGACGTCAAGCCACTTTCGCTGGAGAATCTGTTGTTTGGCCTGAGCCAAGATCAAGTGATCTTTAGTTACAAGAAGAACCAAACGCTAGAACAAAGAAAAAATTCCTGGCATAGCTAGTAGTGGCCTGACAAACACCCTCACACAAGATGAACTCCAAAACGATCATCATCAAATACCTTGCAGCATGGACCAGTGTTCTTTCTCTCGCTTTTTTCCTTCTTCTCCAACAACTTTTAATTTACGGAGAGCACCATCCAATGAAAAAGATGTTTATTCATCATCGCGATGATGATCAAAATTCCACGAACCACAAGATGCATCAAGGTGGTTCACAAGATTCTCTCATCGTAGTTGTAGCCTCTGGATTTACATGGGCTGAAAATCTAGCCATTTCCGAAGTGAATGGAATCGCTTTCATGAGTGATATATATGGAGAAAAATTATGGCGGATATACTACAATGAAAGTAGTGAAAGATTTGAACAGCATGTGTTTTTAGATGTGGAAACGAGTCCATTCAATCATTATTTCGGATTGGCTTTGTATGAGACTGCAAAGAATAGTTCAAAAAGTGGTAATTTTGAAAATGGGAATTCAGAGCTTCCATTTCCTGATGGAAGCGTATTGTATGTGGTAGTAAGGAATCACGCGGATGGTGAATCCTATGTAATTTCCATGGATCCAAATATTCCTTTCAAATATCAAGTCGTGTCACGGTTACCAAAAGTAGGAAATGGTTTGGCTCTCCACAAAAAAACTCATTTACTCTACGTCACCACAGAAGGAGGATTTCTTCCTTATGGAGGGCAAGTGTATCAAGTGAACCCTCGAACTCGATCCTGCACAACCATCCTCACCGATTTGTATGCAGCCGATGGTGCGTTTATTGATCAAGAGAGAAATTGGCTCTACGTTTCTCAAGTGATTGGTTCAAAGGTTCTGGTTATTGATTTGGAAAAATTGGAAACTTTGAAAATAGCGAATAGTGACAACTTTAAGAGAGAGGATATTGTGATCCGAGAATTTATTGCACCTTGTGAGATGTTGGATGATTTTACACTCTCTCGCGATGGAAAGATACTGTATGGCGCAGATTTCTGGGGAGGAAAAGTCGTAAAGTTCTCCGCTTGGGATGGATCTAATTCGAGTGTGATAGCAAGCGATTTAATTTTCCCAACTTCTGTTCGGTTAGGTCCAAGAAATTTAAGACCTCATTCTTCGTCACAGATTGAAGATGGGGAGACAATTAGCAGTTTATTTGTGACAGAGGGCGGGGGATTATTTCCAAGCATGGTAAAAAATAGAAAATTGTTGGAAATTTTAAATAATTAGGAGACGTGATAATTTGTTTTTGCTAACGTAGGTGTTATCATTGTAACAATATACAACACAAAGGGAATTTTGTACATTCTTTCACCTTGAAACCGTTACTTTTTTATATTTTAGCCAAGATATCACGCATTAAGGTATGGTTTCCATTTCTTCAACAATACCACCAATGTAGGTTAAATGATGATTCAATCTAAAGATCAAGGCATCATGAATTACTTTTGTTTGTTGTGTCATCAGAATATGGAAACAGATTTGGTAGGTTTCGAAGATGTAAATAACAAGAATCGTTAATTTTAAGGAACAGATGGGTTTGCGTTCTCGCCAAAATGGACCTTGGTGATTCGTAGTGATTCGCAGTGGTAGATTCGAAAAAATGATAAACTAGCCGAATATATAAAATTTAGTTGGCTGAGAAACAGTAATTTCCCGTATTTCTGCTTCCATTTTCCCTGTACATGCCATGGCACCACAATCATGTGAGGTAACACGTCAAAATAGTTTTCATAACATTTCTCAGAGCCGTATTTAGAAGATTTTCAAAAGTTTGGAAAAAAACTTCAACTAAAGAATTTTCAAAAGCAACCCAATGAATCAAGTTTTAGTTGGTTCACTCATTGGAATGCTTGTGTTGCTTTTTGCACCACTCTCATGTCATTCAGCCATGGCTGATGATGTGAATTGGTCCTCACTGACTGTTGTAATTGCTCGGCTTGTAGTGGATTCAAGAGTTCTCAAGTTTCAAGTATTATGCTTGTAATGGATTCAAGGCGACATGCTTTTCCAATATGAATTCATCGGCTTACTCTGGATTTAAACCATCATGTTTTGGAAAAGTACCGAGTCAAGAGTTGGGTGGCATCAATTCTGCTTCAAAGTTTTCACAATTGAGTACAAGTGTGATTAGTTACCTCTCAAAGAGTGCCATTAACGCTCTAAATGAAGAGGCATGTGCTGGATTTACCTCATGTGCTGGCATGTCAAGCAGTCAACTGTCAAACCTTGACAATTCTTATCCCAACAATGCCTGTCAAGGTTTCAAAGCAGAATGTCTTTCCAATATTCCAGACAATTCATATGATGGTTTTACCAGTAGTTGTGTTTTTATTTGGGATGTCACACAAGTGAATGGAATTTCTTCTTCTCAGTTGAAACAAATGACTCCAAAAGCATTCAGTGGTTTCACCTCAAAACAGATTGCAAACTTGAATTCCAAATCATGCTCTGGAATTTCAAGCTCTCAAATTTCCTCTCTCGACAATTCGTATCCCAACTATGCCTGTCAAGGTTTAAAAGCAGATTGTCTTTCAAGAAGAAATAGTGAGAGTTACAAACAATTGGAGAGACAATGTGGAACTCCAAATCCTCCTCAGCCACAACCTTCGAAATCAAAACCTCCACAACCTTCAAGATCAAACTCGCCTCAGCCACAACCATCTGGATCTCGTATTCCACCTCCTCCACGTCCACAACCATCCACGAGTCCATTAAGGAACACTTCTGTGATGCCCATTCAGAGCCAAAAACCTCAACCAAAAAGATCAGAGGGAATGATGATGATTGGTTCAAGCTTTTTGGCTGGTCTATTTAGTGTGTTGTTATTGGCAGTTTTGATGATGCAATAAAGTCGTTAGTGCTTCTTTTGAACAATGATTTCGTGACGGTAAAAGTATCATGCATTCAGTGACTGAAATGCTTGAACATTTGCTTTTTGATTATGTTGGTGTTTATTCCAGTTTTTTACTTTCCACTACCTCCACCACAACGTTCAAAGGTTGGAAATCCACATCCTGCAAGAACAGCAATAATAATAATCGCTACTAAAATTATGATAATGACAATGATCACTACGAGGAGCCTCCAAAACATTTTTCTCTTGAGCTTTCCGCTTCCTTTCTTGAATTCATTGGCTTCTACCAACATTTCATCACTCTTTTCATACAAGGTTTCGAATTTTTCTCCCCTCTCTAGGACTTTATCAATATTGTCAACCATTGACTCTTTCACTGTTTCCAGCTTTTCTTGAAGAGCAGTAATTTTGTCTGCATTAGGATCGTTCCATTTTTCCTAGTTTCATTGCAATGCAATTGTGGGAAATTAAGCATTTCATTCAATCATCAATTCCCACGGAATGACAAGTTTCATGCATCATTTGACGAGAGGTAAAATAACAAACCTACCACTTTCTGTTTGATCATCTTTCGGTTGCCCTTGATATCGTTCTTCCTTGTTACAGCAGCAAAGGTACTATCAAGATCATCGATGAAAGACCAGCAGAGCCTCTTCTTTGTATCCTTTGAGGCCACGCAAAAGAATACATAATTACCACTCTTTTTGTAGTGAATTTCAATTCTGAATACAGGTATCATTAAAACCGACAACCAATAATGATGAATATCATCATAAGATTTAAAACAATAGTCCACAATTCCATACAATGATTTAGCATCGGAATGATCAAGATGATGATCACTAACAACTGTTTGGTCAAAATACCTACTCATCCGAAGTAAGGGTTCTCTTTTCCATCGTGTCCTTAGAAACTTTCTTTACAATTTTATCCATGATGAGAGAGGAGAGCGCAGCATCATCTTTTGGTCCATCTCCCAACAATTCAACTCCATCGGTGATTAAGCTGTACGTAATGGGCATCTTCCGGGTTCTTCTGAAAAGAGCAATTCAACGATCGCATCATGGGAAGATATCAGAGTATGCGTGTGTGGATCCACACAGTGTACCACCATATCCACCGTACCGTACGGTTGTTTGAACAACATTAGGACTTCCTACATTCACTTTAAGGTTCATTGTTCCTACTCACCAGAGAGTTCAATGCAACTGAAACAATTTGAGGAATTTTTTTTATTCCTTTTTTGATGATGATTCGAATGAAATTCAACTCGCGAATATCATTTCAATAAATAATAATTCATCGTCATTATCATTCATTAAATAATTACAAATCACTTTTATAAGAAGAAGGAGTGTGAGAGAGATATATGATAAAAAGATGATGATCGAGTTTCATCACCAACGTCATTTGGGGTGAATTACCATTTCTCTTTTGTGTGGATTGCTGTTGGTATGGAACAATATTTCTAGTGTTAGAGTGATGTAATGTCACACACACAACCAGAGAGTCAGTAACTGTACACATTAAGGATAAGAGGAAGGAGAATATACAGACAGCACTCCTTCTCGAGCACTGTGTCACGAATACAAGTCGTTTTTGAAACATCTCACCATTTGAATGTTGTCATGATGTGTAATTTGTCCCAATCAGAACCAATCTTGAAATTATAAAATTTGACAACATGAAAAGCCACCATTTCGAGAAGGAGGCTCAGAAATATCACCTGCATGAAACGGAGCTGCATCTTCACTGGCCTGGCCCAATAATGCCTGTAAACCTTGCTTCTCTTTGAGTCCATAGACATCGACTTGCTCCAATCCATCCTGAATCATCGAGTTATAATCTTGGAAAACAGCGTGCCAAGTTGTGAGAGCTGGGAATTCATCTTCTCCTGTAGCGGTTGGAATTGGATTTTTCAAATATTTCATTAAATGTTGAGAATCTTCCAACACGAATCCCATCTTGATTAATTTAAATCCAAATATTTTGGCTTGAGAAACAAATATTCTAATCTTTTGAGAGGGCGAGGATGAGTCCGAACTGTGAGGATGACGGTGATGATGATCCAATGATGATAAGGAGGATGATACATTTTGTCTATTATTATTATTATTTGTATGATTACTATTGTTATTATTTTTGTTTGTATGATGATTTCTCTCTTCTTCTTCCTCTGCCTCTCGATCACTCACAATTTGATCCAATATTCTGAATTTCAACTGAGAAACGGTGAGAGAGGTCAATTCTCGATGGAGTTCAAACGAAACGGATTTTCCGAGAAGAGGAGTTGGAACGACTCCAGTGAACATGATCCGTAGACACGGTGTTGGAGAGGAGGCTGTGGTTGCGTTCGGGGAAGCAGATGACGACGACGAAAACTTGTGGTTGACAATTGATGATGAAGACGACATTTTTTTTGATGTTTTATTGCAAGAGCTCCTTTTTTGATAAATTTTATTTCTGGTTCCTGAAAATCTTATTCTGTGTGTGACTTGGATAAAGAAGAATGTAACTCGAGTTGATGAAAATATCATTCCTTAAACTTTTCAAAGAGAGAATATAAAATGGTTTCATCTCATTCATACTTTGAAATTCAATTACAAGAATGGTAATTTTCCAATTTAAGGTGAGTCGAATCTTCCCCACATTTGCATATTTTAAAAAAAAAGTGTTCAACAAGAGACACCAACACCACCTCCAACAACACACAAACTCTTTGAAATGACTCAACTGCATGTCCACGTCGTCTCTGCCTTACATTTGGAACCAAAAGATCTTCTCACACAAAGCAGCGATCCCTTTGTAGAAGTCTCCTTTCATGGTCAAACCAAACGAACCTCTGTGATTCGTGATTCTTTGAATCCGTGTTGGGATGAAGTCATTCGTTTTGATTTGAGGCCACATGTTCTTACTTTGAATGATATCTTGATGAAAAGAGATTCCAAGGAGGAGAGTCCTACCATTTCTACTATTTCTTCTACTACTGCTGCTGTTGCATCTCGTTCCTCACCATCATCTTCTTCGAGACGAATGAATTTTCACTTTCCGAAATTCTTTCACTCTTTCAACACCACCACCACGAAGGTTGGTCTCTCCTCTCCATCTGCTTCTTCTTCAAACAACAACAACAACACCACCTTACGATCAGAAACGAATGCATCATCATCACCATTCACTGCCTCTTCCCACAGAGGCTCTCCTTCCTCCCATTCATTCACAGGTTCTTCTTCCTCCAAAACTGATGCTTCACTCTTCTCCTCTCTCGGTTATGTGCATTTTCAAGTGTGGGATTACGATCGATACAAACACAATGAGAAATTGGGAGAATGTTATGTGCCATTGGGATCCATCTTTGATGGTTACTTGATGGATGAGCAATGGGATGGTAAGCCGTGGTGGTTTCAACATGCCACCCCTCTATTGATCGGTGGAAAGAGAAAATCGAAGGAAATGTTGACCGCTCATGATTCAGCCATCCTGATGAAGAAGAATAAGGACAATAAGGGAGGACTCTTGATGGAGCGTGGTCATTCACAACAACCTCTCACGGAAGAGGATGATCAATTGACACAAAGTGTGAGCATTGAAAGTTGGGCGACGACTGGGGAGGATGAAACCAACAGTGGAACAGTTTCAGTACATCCTCAGAGGATCTCTCTCGATGATTTTCAAGAAGATGGAGAAGCAATGAGGACGACTAATTATTATTCACCGTCACGTCTCAATCATTTGGCGGAGGAACAGGAGCATGTCTTGTATGGTAAATATCAACCCGTCACAAAGGAGTCATTCAATTACTTGTTTGATGAGAAGGTTCAAGAGTTGTTGGTCCAAGAGGCGAAACAACCTCAATATTTGGAGATGGAGCTTGAAAAAACTTCAAAGAGATCATTTCTAATTGTGGAATTGTATTTGAGTGGGATTGTAAGATCGAGACAATACTAGTAGTAGAGAACGGGAGGAAAAGATTGTACGCCATGAGCTTTTCCATGATTCGATTGTGCGTTGTCCTGAACGTCAGAACTACTTCTGGGTATTCTTCTTGATGAGTCGAACATGTTGATCAATGTGATCATAAACCTTCAGAACTGGAATATCTGGATCAAGTAAATACTCAGATTGCAGCAATGGATAGAGTGTGACAGATTTTTGAATGCACATGGAAACAATAGGGTAATAAACAATGGCATCGGATATTACACCATACGTGTCTGAGGGTGACTCTACCGATGCAATGTGAAGTCCATTCTTAAAAAAGTGTACCCTATACTTGTCATAATCCATCAACACAGCAAACCTGTCTCCAACTTGCACCTTACCACTCGTTTGAAAATCTTTGTAATCGCCAAACAATTTGAAACTACTACATTCCAAAATGTATCCAATGCCCAGATTATCATTCACAAATTGAGCGATTGATTTATCCTTATTAAAGTCAGTATAGTCGGTCCCAACTCCATATACGATATTCCAGCCATTCCCACAAATGTGATACCTCTCTACGACAAGTTCAAAACCTCTAAATCCACAATAAAAATTGGAAGGTAATTCTTTCATGCAACGAACGATGGGATAGTTGGTGGAAATAAAACCACACCATGTTTGGACAGAGACATTTTCCACCCTTCGTCCAGAAATAACAGCTTTGGAAGCAGAAAGATCATGATCATTTCTGAATTGAATTTGTTTCAATTGATTCAATAGCAAATTATATTTGACCTTGTTGTGATTGTCTCGTCGAATATAAAGAAACTGATCAATGTAGGTATTGAGATCGGACTCTTTGAAAGCACTCAACTTGACAAGAGGGGCCTCGGACGATGCTGAAGGTAAAGGTGCTTTCTTGTTGACTTCATCAATAAACGAATTGAACAAGAACAAGATCCGATTCTTCCAAATTGTGCTCCGATAGGCACTCACTTCACTCTCATCCTCATCTCCCAAAATGTAATGATAAAAATGTCGGCAAGTGAGAGCTACATTTAAGAGTGATTTCTCATCACAATACCACAATAGTTGAAATTGCAATTCAATCGGTAGATCTGGAAACACCATCACTGCGATCGTCCACTCAGTGTTTTGAATTTTTTGATGATTTTGATATTTTTAGCTCATCATGAACCCTGAATGCTTCCGCTACTGGGCGTACCGAAGGGTACCCCATTGATGTATTCAACATCAGTGTACTTTAGAGAAATGAAAACGGTACTAGTATTTAGCATCTCGTTCTAAAAAAGATGTATTTTTCTGTTTCAATTTATACAGAGAGTGAGAGAGACATGAGGGAGGTCGAGCATGGCATAAATTGCCGCTTTTTCTCTACAACTACATCAAAAATAAGGCCACCAAAAACACCATTAAAAAATTTCAAGTACGATTAATCGACACCAATACCCCGTTGTGGTTTCATCGATTAAACATTGAACATTAAAATGTTTTCTCAGAGAAGACAAAAGAATTATCATTCGGGAGGAGAGGAGATCAATAAGAAATTGGAGGCCATCACTCAGAAATTTGCTGATGATCTCCGTAAAGACATCAAGGAAATTAAATTTCCGACCATGTTTTCAAAAGGTAAGAGTTTTCTCTAACTTCAGAGCTCAGTCATACAATTTTATGACCTTGTTTTTATACATTCTTTGTTTCCGTCAATGTTTGGAAAAATATTCCTTCCGATACAACATCATTGTATTATTCTCCGTTCCATCATGGCTATGATTTATACAATTTATACAAATTTCAGAGTGGGTACTGCTTTGCGATAAATTAAAGAAAATCTCGGAAATTGTTCGAATGGAGAGAGAAGACATGAATTTTGACAGCATCACCGCCCATTTCAATAAGGAAGAATGCAAAAAAATTGAAGAATCAGAAAAAGATCATTCAGATACCTCTTCCATTGCCGTCAACGATGAACTTGGCAATCATTCCATCCCTTCGGTGCAAAATACCAATGAAGACCCAATCCATGAAAAATCAGTGAAAGAAACAAACACTGTGGTAGAAGAGACTCAAATGAACAAACCTGCAAACAACAGACCTGCCACAACCTCCTCGCTTACTACCAATCCCAGAAAAAAGAAGAGTAATATTCAATTTGGGTCGTCCGATTTATTTGGAGGTTCTTCATTTATTCCAAAAAAACCAAGTACAGCTTCTTCCTCAACAAGACCCTCAACAGCATCTTCCAGTGCATCCATGTCCTCGAACTCTTCTGTAAATCACAAGCAACAAGCAATTTCAACATCATTTAATTCTGAAAATACATTGTGGGATAGGGACGAATATTGCGTTCGATTCATAGTCGAAGAGGGTAAAATTAATTTGTTGTTGAGGCTTTTGGATGAATTTAAAGATGAAGACTTGAAAATACGGCTCGGTTTGAAATCTTTATCCACAGATATTCTGCCCAACACTGGACTTTCCACAGAGATGGAATTGCAAGAAAAGATGAAAAACTTTGAACAGTCTCTTTGCATGCTTCTAAAGTACTGTTTTCACTCTGTTGAAGCTCTGCAAACAATCGATGTTTATCAATATTTGGATTTCATTAATAAGAACATGAGAGAGGACTTGTTTTTAGACTCAAAACAGAAACTGAAGGGAGAGGAAGTTTATTGCACAGCAGAATTCATAATTTTTGATTTTCTTAGAGCGTTATTTGTGCACATTGATAGGTTGGACGACACCAAGATTTGTTCCCTTACTATTGATCGACAAATTCTTCCAAAAGCTGTTCGTTTTCTTTTTAAAACCTGCTCTCAGCTTCTCGAAAATGAAAGAGTGATGTGCTTTGAAGCGCTCTCTGCCATGATGAATGCCGAGACCTATCAAACCTCAAGATCCAAATTCTTTGGAGATGACACGGAAGCGAAAAAGATGTTGGTCCAGCTTTATGACAATTTTATTAAGCAATTACTGACTTCATACGAAAGAAAGAAATCTTTGAGATCACTCGTGGATCAAGTGAACCGATTCAAAATTGAGTTTGTTTTGTAGCAAACCCAATAAAATACATACATATTCGCCCGTTATTGTTTATTATTCCAACAACTGTGCTTGACCATCCCAAACGGAACCTTATTCCAATTCGCAAATGTTCCAAGTGAAAGATTTTTTCAAGTTGACAGATTTTTTCAACACCAACAAAAAAAAATGAGAAGACTCGTCATTGCCTCCATTTTTGGTTTCCTCGCGTTCTCCTTGATGATGGTGAGCAGTATTGAAGCCGCTTGCGCTTACACCACAACCACCGGAAAGGTCATTGATGTTACCAGTGTGGATAAACAAGGTGGTTATTCTGTATCAACTGGAGGAGATTGGGATTATTATTTGTAAGTAGTGGTATTATTGTTATTCGAATGATGATGATTTTTTAATCCCTATGAAAAATGAATGTTGATGATTGAAATATATATTGACTCATCATGATGAAAATGAATTACATCATTTGGCAATTACGAATGATAATATTCTCCCCAATGTTGTGATGATGATGATAATTTCCATACAATTTCCATACGTAATTGTCTCTCCGTTTTGACAACGCGTTCATTGGTCTCCTCTTCGCTCTTTAATTGATCATCACACAATGTTAACGATGGTGCGAATAACGATGATGATCATTTGCTTTTATAATCAAATGACAACTACAATTTTGTCAATTCTTGAATGTTGTCATTTGACACTTCCATAATGATGATCCATGTTCACCATCCAACTATTTAACTCACCAATTAATTGATTGTAATTACAACCCACTGTATGACACATTCCTATATCCTCACCAAACCCCACAAAACAAACAGCAATGTTTGTGAACTCCCAGTTACATCCCCTTCTTCAAAATGTTCCTTCTCCCAAACTCCACAAGCATACCAATACTCCTCAAAGTGGAACGATTGCTATCCAATTGGTAACAAGGGAAATCCAAAGGTTGCTCCTCTCTCTCCAACTGATGAAACAAAAGGTGTTAAAATCACACATGATGCCTTTACTTATCAAAATGCACGAAGAGAACTCGTTATCAATTTGAAGTGTGACCAAAATGCTGCCACCACTACTTTCACATTCGACGGTGAAACTACAGGTGCCGTTAGTACTTACACTTTCACTGGAAGCTCCAAGTATGCTTGTATTGGAGCTGGACCAGGTCCAAACCCAGATAATCCAAGCGATGAACCAATTATGGGACAATATGGCATTGGTGGATTGTTGTTGACATTGTTGCTTGTTGGATTCATTCTTTACTTTATTATTGGAGCTCTTGTTTTGAAGTTTGCCATGAAGAAGAGTGGAACTGAAATTATTCCTCAATTTGCATTCTGGAAAGATTTACCATTCCTTTTGATTGACGGAATTATGTTGCCAGTTGATCTCATTAAGGGATGCATGGGTAAGAACAAGTACCAAGAAATGGCATAAGTCTGATGCATTGCTACTCTACAGATAGTTCAGAAACTTTATTTGACAACCTTTGTTGTTAACAAAATACCAAGAGTCTTTATTAAAATTAAGTTATTTATTCACCAATCATTTGAATGCACGCAATGACATTTCAACTAAGGTGGTTGAAACTCAATATATCAACCTTTTTGCACCTCATTCTTTGCTGACTCTCATTGCGAACTCAAAGCATTATAATGACAGAGAATACATATCTCATGTTCCTCTCTTCAATTGTGAGAATTGTGATAAAGAATTCTAAAGTGAAGTTCATCATGGCACGAAAAGTGATTCAGAGGAGCGACAGTGAGGAAAGAATCATTCAGCATTGAAGTTATGTCTTTTTGACAATATCGACACTACCAAGGATCGTCACAAGAATGTTTGAATTAAGCATCCAAAATTCTGAGGCAAAAGCTAAGCCGAAGTGTGGCTGGTCTCTTTTTTGGTTTTTTTTTAAGACTGGCCCTTTTCTTCTTTTTTAAGAATTTTTAAGTTTTTGCACCACGACTTAGCCATGAGAAATGTGCTGGAGAGGAGTGGTTGATCATGTTGGTATGAATTGTGTTTTCAGGTTATGGTTTGAATGTTTATTGATAATATTGTGTTTTGAGAGTCCATTTTTAGAACTGACATATGTAACTATAATTTGTGACATTCGACATGACGTTCAAGTGAAAAGAATTCACTAACGTTCGTCTCCATTTGACAGCATGGATAATTTAACTTGTAAGAAGGAAAGAATACAAATATTTACAAGATCTTGGATAAGGATGATGACCATAAAAGCTGATTACTGAGCGTATGGGTTTTCTTTCTTTCCGTTCACAAATTTCTTATTGCAATCAATCAAAAACCTTTCAAATGACTTGCATACAAATTATGTCAAACAACAAACAAGCTTACCCTCCTAATCGCAAAATATTTCTCCCAATTAACACAGGACAACTGAGTTTGTGTCTTTCCATAAGCGTGAACTCTGCAACTTGTGCGAACATGTGAGCCATCCCCAATGGAAACCTTTGTTTGAATGACATATCTTGTAGAAGAATGACCATTCGAAGAGATTACTGTTTTTGTTGTGTTTGAGAATGGAAATTCAGTCACATGTTGAACAATATTTCGATCATTTCTGTCCAAAACAACATCAAAATTCAAAATTTTTTTCACATCATCATGTATCACATTCATTACATCTAAACAACTGGTCTTGGCTCCAGAATCAATCTTTCCTAATAAATTGAAAACCCCAAGCTCAGGGAAATGAATCCTATCGTAAGTATAAATTATATTAAAAAGAATTATATTATTCGAGTTTAAATAATGATGTTGCTATTGAAAATTAATCACTCACATTTCTTGACATCCAATAATGCAAGACAAAGCTTTTGCAGAGTTTAGAGTAATTGATCCTCCACCTCTTTTGTTTCATTACTTACTGGAATTAATTTTCTTCTTCTTCTTCTTCTTCATTGTGGTCTCTGTTTTAGTTTGGTCATGAGCACGCACAGTATGTCCATCTTTCTGTTCATGTTTGTTGGTGGAATTAGAATTTAATTTTTTCATCTTTTCGGTTGGCAAATTTGATGAATCAACTCTCTTTCGTTTCAAAACAGGTTCCAGTTTTGGTGGTGTGATATCATTCAGCATCTCTGTATCCAACAAAATTTTCCGCTGTAAAATACAATCTCTCACCCAAAATGTATCGACAATTTTAATGTGTTTTTCAAGAGCTTTCTTATAAATTTCAGCTTTTCCATTTGAAAAAATCAAATAATGAATCTTGTTCGATATTTTGTTCATCAATTTTCCTCCTTCGTTTCGAATGAGCTCTGTGATTGAATATGGTGAGTCTGAATTGGGACTTGAAATTTCTTCGGAAATGGAAAGAACAAAATTTAAGCCACTGAAAATACCTTGATGATGATTAAAAGTTTCAATCATGGTGATGGATGATGAGGATGGTAAGCTCATTGGAGATGCTGTTGATTGTTTTGAATTTTTGATCTTCTTTTTCATCCAACCTTCCGAAATTCGTTTTTATTTTTTTTTGTAAAATGTTCAAACAATTTCTGGCATAAGAATTTAAATGATGGATTTGATTGGTCCTTAAAATTCTCATCTCACTCAATGAGAACAATTTGAAACCTTTCAGTCTACTCATGACAACTTTGAATCAAGAATGCAAAAAATGGCGAGAACCAATAGACGGCCAATCAGCCAGAAGCATCGATGCTCACGCCTTGTGGATCCACAAGGAACCCATTCTTCTTCGGCGTCCTCATCCGATGATACTGATCAAGAGGATGATCGACAAACAACAACAACAACAACGCCTGATCAGTACCATCGGCCATTATACAGGTATGATACAGATCAAAGAAGAAAAGGCATGTTTTCTTCTTCCTCATCAGCAACATCATCATCATTGGATTGGAAAAATCCAATTCGTTCATCATTGATGTTTGGACAATCCTCCGCATCGTCATCCTCATCAAGTAATCCCTTTTCTGTGCGATTTAGTGTTGAGAATGTTGCAATGGAACCTATCAATCCTTTTGTTACACCTTTTTCTGTTCCTACTTCTACCAATGATCTGAACAACAACGTTGTTGCTACCAATCCAGAAGAGGCTTCATCTTCATCATCATGTCGTAATACTATTCGGAACAACAACAGCAACAACGTAAAAGCTTTGGAACCTACTTTCTCTGATCAAACCAACAGCAAGAACAACAATGGCAACAACACCACACTTGCTACTTCCTCCGAGATCATCATGACCACCACCACCACTACAAGCCTTACTTCTAACTCTGTACCACCACCAACAAGTACCACTTCAACTATCACTCCTATCACCACGGAATCAAAGGATTTGCCTTCTCGTTATGATCAAACTTCAAGCACCACGACCTCAAATACTTTGAATGGCAACAGTAGTGTTCAAGCCTCAGAGTCATCATCATCATCATTGGCTCCCTTAGTACTCGGATCGTTGCCAACAACTTCTTCAGCAACAACGTCAACTCCCTCTTCATCATCCTCTCAAAGCACGACGACAGCAGCTTCATCAAACCTTGGCATGAGTGAAAGCAATGTCACCACGAACAATACTGCCCTTCTGTCCAAACCATCATTTGTTTTTGGCGGTGGTCTTTCCACTAGATCCACAACATCCACCAAATCCACCACTCCGTCCACAAGTTCCTCTGTTGACAACAGCAAGAAAACCCCATTTTCAATTATTGGTACTCCCTCCTCAACAGCCACGAGCCTAAACAAAGTTGACACGAACAACAATCTCAGTACCTATGATGTGTTTGTGAACAAGAAAGACTTTTATTTGGAGGAAACGCCATTCTCTTTTTCGAAATTGGCTTCCCATGCCAATTTCTCATTTGGTACTCGCTTTTCCACTGTTAATCCAAAAAATTGTATTAAGAAGTATAATCGAGATTTACTCTTCGGAACCGATGTTTTTGCCTTTATTCCGTATTTAGAGCTTGTGGTGCCAAATTTCACACATCATGTTCTCCTCAATCAGAGGCTCATACAAACCCTTACAAAATCAGAGCAAAAATGTTTACAATTTATTATTGATTTCATTGTAAATAGAGATGTGTATGTACCTAATCAAACTCTTTCCCTCCATGACGTTATCTCATGTGCATTTCTGGTGAACAGGGCAAAGGGAGAGCTTGTCGAATTTAAAACACAATACTTGATAACACAGTTTAAGAGAGAATTTTGTGACAAATCCGCCATCGACACTTTGGAATTGATTGATTCATATTTGGAGAGAGAAAAGGAAGCTCCTAAAGAAATAATAAGTGGATTTTTGCAACGAATTCAAAGATTTTGTTTGGAATATGTTGGAACAAATTCTTCATTACCATGCTTTGACATTGAAAAGGACCCACGAATTGAAAAGTATCTCGTCAAGATTTATCGATTCAAGAATGTAGCATCACTCACTTGGACTGAACAATCAATTTGTAGTGCTGTCAAGAAGGATCTTTCTTGTCTCTTCAAAGATCCAATATTGTCAGATGTGAAAATCACCATTGGTGATGGAAAATTCATAGAATGTCACAAAACAGTTCTCTCATCAGCAAGTGAATTCTTCGAGACACAATTTAACTCCCCAGTATTTACCGATGAAGAGTGTGATTCAAGACATTTGCAAGAAATTGGCGTAGAGCCACATATCATGAAATATATTGTCAAGTATGCATATGAATGCTTTGACCCAATTTTGGTACCTTCTGTAGATGCCATTCCTCTGCTCAAGACAGCTCACTTGTATCGAATGAAGGGACTCGTGGATGCATGTTTGAGCATTTTCAATAGGAACCGACAAAGCTATTTATCCATTATTGACAGCCTGTCCTTCTATTTAGATGACCCCATGCTCGAGCCTGTTCGTGAAATGCTTATTCAGGTGGGTGCTGCAAATTTAGAGGCACTTTTTAAGACCTCAGATTTAACCACAGAGGAATTGATGAAAATTCCACATGACATGTTGGTGAAAATTACTCAGCTCTATTTTCAGCTCTCGAATCGTCATACCTTTGCTCTCACATCTTCTTCTTCTCCACTCAAAACCCCTGATAGCGGCACCACCTCAAAAACATCCACAGCTGCAACAAACACATCTGCTTCTGCACCCATGAATGTTTTTTACAGTTTTTAACATTGTGTGATGACCCTTAGGATGACTCGAGATGGCTGTTGCAATTTCATTCAGTACTGGTTTACGCGAATATTCCAGTCGATTAGACGATCTTTGTTATTTTCTTAAATTCATTTTCAATGACTTAAGAACGAAGGTCTGTGTGACACATCCTGAGCAGTTCCGAGATGGACTATTGGTGAACCTGAAGCTTCAGTCAATGGCTAATTCGAACCTTACCTCTTCAAACCCAAATTATGCATAACCCAGGTTCAATAAATCAGAACGGCCAACGAACGGTTGCCAATTTTCACTCATGAATCTCACCACAACACTTGCTTTGTAATTCGGAACCAAATCGGAATCTAAAAAAATATTGTTCTCGGAATTCATCATCCTTGAGGGAAATGGCTTAAAGCAGGAAATTTTTTGAATCGCTGAAAAAAATAACAACACAATACAATACACTTTCACCACAAAATGTCTGTTTTTGACGGTATGTATTCTTTGAAAGCCTTTTTCATAATTGAAGTGACTTTAACCTTCATTCTTGTATTATGATGATGTAATCTTGTTGTATCAATACATCGTTGCCTTTCTACTTTGACATATCTTTTGGAATGACACATCTTCTCTAACTTGTACCATCATCAACTAACTACTCATCATCATCTCTACCACTACAACAGGAGCTATCGGAATTGACTTGGGTACCACCTACAGTTGCGTTGGTGTCTATATGGGCGACAATGTTGAAATTATTCCAAACGATCAAGGTAACAGAACAACACCATCTTATGTTGCTTTCACTGAAGAGGAACGTTTGATTGGTGATGCTGCCAAGAACCAAGTTGCCATGAATCCACACAATACAGTCTTTGATGCCAAGCGTTTGATTGGTAGAAAATTCAGTGATCCTAGCGTTCAAGCTGATATGAAGCACTGGCCTTTCAAGGTGATTACTAAGGGAGATGATAAACCATACATCCAAGTCGAATACAAGGGTGAAACACACACTTTTACACCAGAACAAATTTCATCCATGGTCCTCACAAAGATGAGAGATATTGCCGAACAATATTTGGGAAAGCAAGTCAAGAAGGCTGTCGTTACTGTTCCTGCTTACTTTAACGACTCTCAAAGACAAGCCACAAAGGATGCCGGTACTATTGCTGGTTTGGATGTTTTGCGTATTATTAACGAACCAACTGCTGCTGCTATTGCCTATGGTTTGAACAAGAAGGGTGAACGTAATGTTCTCATTTTCGATTTGGGTGGTGGTACTTTTGATGTTTCCATTTTGAACATTGAAGATGGTGTTTTCGAAGTCAAGGCTACTGCTGGTGATACTCACTTGGGTGGTGAAGACTTTGACAACCGAATGGTTGACTTCTGTTGTCAAGAATTCAAGAGAAAGCACAAGAAGGATTTGACTGAAAATCCAAGAGCTTTGAGAAGATTGAGAACTGCTTGTGAAAGAGCAAAGAGAAACTTGTCTTCTGCTGCCAACGCAACCATTTCTGTCGATTCTATTATGGATGGTACTGATTTGGATATTACCATGACTCGTGCCAAATTCGAGCAATTGAACATGGATATGTTCAGAAATTGTTTCGAACCAGTCAAGAAGGTTTTGCAAGATTCTGGATTGGATAAGTCACAAATTGATGATGTTGTCTTGGTCGGTGGTTCTACTCGTATTCCAAAGGTTCAAGAAATGCTCAAGGACTTCTTCAACGGAAAGGAATTGTGCAAGTCTATCAACCCTGATGAAGCTGTTGCTTATGGTGCTGCTGTTCAAGCTGGTGTTTTGACTGGTAAGGAGACTAGAGTCTTGTTGATTGACGTTACTCCTCTCTCGCTCGGTATTGAAACTGCTGGAGGTGTCATGACCAAGTTGATTGAAAGAAACACTACCATTCCTTGCAAGAAGTCACAAACCTTCACAACCTATGCTGATAACCAAACTGCTGTCACCATTCAAGTATACGAAGGTGAGAGAACCATGACCAAGGACAATCACTTGTTGGGTAAATTCAACTTGGAGGGTATTCCACCTGCACCAAGAGGAGTTCCAAAGATTGAAGTCACCTTTGAAATTGACGCCAACGGTATCATGAAGGTTTCTGCTAAGGATGAATCCTCTGGTAAGACTGAAAATATCACCATCACCAACGACAAGGGTAGATTGAGCAAGGAAGAAATTGAGGAAATGTTGAAGCAAGCTGAACAAATGAAGTCTCAAGATGACGAATTGAGAAAGAAGGTTGAAGCAAAGAACCACTTGGAATCCTATGCTTACCAAATGAAGTCCACTGTTGAGGATCCAAACCTTGCTGGTAAGATTTCTGATGCTGACAAGAACACCATCAAGAAGGCATGCGAGGAAGCTATTGCTTACATTGACAACAATCCATCTGCCTCTAAGGAAGACTTGGAGAACAAGCAAAAGGAATTGGAAGGAAAGTGTGCTCCAATAATAACCAAGTTGTATCAAGGAGCTGGTGGTGCTGGTGCAGGTGCTGGTGGATTCCCAGGTGCAGGTGCTGGTGGATTCCCAGGTGCAGGAGGTTTCCAAGGCGCTGGAGCAGGTGCTGGTGGTGAATCATCCACAGGAGGTGCTCAACCAAAATTCGAAGATGTTGATGTTGATTAAGGCGAAGATTTCGCATGGTCTTTTTCATAATTTATAAAATTCAAAAATTCTTAAATTTGATTTTGTTGTCTGCCATTCCACAACGAATGGATTGCTGCATTAATCAATTGTTCACTTGAACAATGATCTTCAGCAGGTTATGTTCCCTAACAAGAAAAGGACATCAGCCATTGCCTGTTTGTTCTCAAAGGAAGGAAATGCGAATTAATATGACGAAAAGGCACGCTTATTTGGAGAGCGAAGAAAGCTTAAAGCAATGAATGTTGAAAGAGTAACGGTGTAAAGTGCACACCACCTTGTTCGAGGAGGTGCAGGACTACCAAACTCAACGTCGCACTATGAGGTGTCCTTTTCTGTCACTTGTCATCTTACCAAACATTAAAAAACCTGCTGATGAACAATTGGTATCAAAACCATTATTACCATCTCTAAACTCTCGCATCATGAAACAACACAACAACAAAAACATCATCAAATCAAGATCTTCTCCCTATCTCTATTACATTCCCATCACATGTTTGGTTCAAACAAATCATAACAACAATAACAACAACACTCATCATCGAACAACCACATTCACAGATTCTTCTTCCTCTCCGACTGTTTCAAGTTCTTCTTCTTGTACATCATCACTTGGATTATTACAGAAATCTTCGAAATGTTCGACAAGTTCTTCTCGACAGGATGACGCCATGATGAAAAGTGTTGATCCACACATGGATGGATTGTCGCCAAAGAAAAATGTATCAACAATAACAACAATCTCACCTACTACTGTTGCGAATTGTGAAACAAATGAATGGTCATTGGCAACAAGTGACACGAATTTGAGTTCTCGCGATGGAAAATCTTCGAATGCTTCAAATTCTTCGACGGAAGATTCGACTTCCACACCGACGAGTAATATTGCCATAAGAATATTTAAAGATGTTGTGAAACAAGATTCGAAAAGAAAGAAGGGAGAGAGTTCATCTCCGACGACCGAATTGATGTGGAATTCCAAAAATGGTAAAACGAAAGGCGGCATTAAGGAAATTCGGAATTCATTTTTTGATTTTTTGAGACAAGTCAAAATTTCTGTCACACGTGAATATGGTTTAGCCATGATTCAGAAAATGCACTTTTTAGATGTGTTCTATGATGTCAAAAAACAACGAGTTCGAATATTTGAAACGTTAAAGCAGCTCATGAAGGTGTGTGAAATATATTTGGAAATGTTAGTGAAACCCTTAATGGATGAAGAAGGAGAGGAAAAACGAATACAGACATCCATACATACAGATGAGGAAGAAGTTTTATCAAAGAATCATGATTCAATGAATGATGAACAATTTTCAGAAAAAGCAACGACGGACTGTCCATTTCCTTTTTTGTTAAATTTTAAGAAGTGTATCGAAAAGGAATATAAGAATTTGATTCCTATTTTGAGTACACATGAATCTTTGGTGCAATGGTTGAGAGATATGTGTGACTTGGCTATAGAAATGCGTCAAGAAAAACTCTTGAAAAAACAGAAAGATCAATCAGCACAATCAGACCTGTCGACAAGTGACAGCAGTCCACCTTCACTCTCCACAGAACCTTCTGAATCTTCTGCTCCACTGTCCACATTTTCAACAGATTCGAGCAATTCCATGTCAAGAATTCCTCCTTCCTCACTCCACTCTTCCATCATTCATTTATCCAAAAAAATTTCTCAAGTCAAGATCATCATCATGACTTCATCATTGAAAATTCACAATTGCTACAAGAAATTCCAGGACAAATCGGACTCAAACGTCTTGTCTTTATGTTTGAAAAAGAATTGGAAGATAATTTTTCCTATTTCCAAAAACAACATGAAAAATATGTGAAAAAGTGGCTCGAGTTGAGTGTGAAAGATTTTCCTTCGTACATGATTGAAATTCTTCACAAAAAAAGAAAACAATTTCTTTATTATCATGCATTCAAAATGAATGAAGAAGATTTAAATTTGAAAACTATTGTGGACTCTGATTTTGGTTTTGTGGAATATTTGTGTGATCATACAGAGGATTGGAAAGTTTTGATTGGAGAACCTCGAGTGGTGGTTTACAAATCGAAGGAAAATTATTCATGCATTCCAAATATGAAATTGCAAAAATCAACCATTCATCTCAATTATTCGATTGAAAAAGTTGCAAAAGCAGCTCTTAATAATGAAATTGAGGGTCAAAAACAAGGAATGTTTGAAAGTATGGAATATCATCACTATACACCACTCGATCGAAATATTTCCTCTCGAAAATACTCAACGGTCATTCAGACTTGCATCATGAATTATGGAGCCATCTTTAAGAAGAGATCTCTTGAAAATGTCATTTCCACAAAAGCACGCTTTTTCGGTGATCAATTGATGGAAGTGACCTATCTCTACAAGACGTGTTCGTATGTGAATCCGAAAAATGAACAAGCAGATTCTCCTGTTAAAGTAGTTGTGTTTGGAGGAAAACAATATATTCGAGAGGATGTGAATCGAACTCGAGTAGTGGATGTTCGATTATTTAATATTGGGGGTTTTATGAATCATGATTTGGTCGTTCATAAATTGGCCATCAAGAAAGTCACACAAGATTTTGTCGATTATTATATCACGAAAATGAAAGATGCTGAAAAGAATGGACATACAGCACCAGATCCAAAGGAACAACATGTGTGGAGAACATTTTCTGAATATTGTCAAGCACATTATGATATTGATGTGAATAAGTGGTAGTGGTGTATCCAACCTTACAACAGTTTTATTTTACAAATACAGCAACATTGTATCAACCCGTGTTGTAATTACTGGAAGTGATGTCACTATCTTCTCCTAAAAGCTCTGGATGAGACAGTCTTTCTTTGTTTTGGAGAGTCCGTTTTGACCGGTGCTGTCACACGCACAGTTGTTGGGGTAATCGTTGGTTTTACTGCCTATAAAGCCACAACCGGAGCATTTTGACGGCCATTCGTTGATTGAAGAGAAGAAACAGTTGGATTTATCACTTCCACTTTCTTCTCATTGTTAGTTTGCACTTGAGCCATCCATTTCTTCACCTTCTTGTCAGCGGTCTGCTCGATTTGTTTAATGACCTTTGCAATGGTAGAACCGAGTTTAGGACCTGATTGAACTTGATCTTCAATGCAGGCTTTCAAAGCTAAAGGATGGTTTTTACCTTTCAAACCTGCAGTTTTACAAGCTTCAGTCGCTGCTTGAACTTGTTCCTGTGTTGGTAGAATTGGCTTAACAGAACGTGACAAAGTTCTCATGACATGATCATGTAAGAGTCCTCTTGCAGTTTGTGTTTTGTAACTCTGATCCACACACATGCCTGCATTGAAATCCAATGTCGAAGGGGCTTCAACAATCAGTGAAATGTGTCCGAAAGATCCCAGTGAGGACTTATAAGATGAACTTCGGTACCAGGTGGCAATCAAATGAGCACCATTCTGAGCAGAAACAGTCATTGAGTTCTCTGCAGTTCTCTTGGCAGTTGCTCCTGGACCAAAAGTAATTTCATCTCCTTGTTTAATTTGTGTTTCCTGTCCATCCACATAGAAAGAGTTACTTTCAATGTCATACTCTATAATTTTTTGATTGTTTACCTTGACAGCGAAGGCAGTGTTGACACTGACACTTCCCCATCTTCCAGTTCGAGAGTGAACAATGAAATCGCCGTCTGTCGATTGAGCCAAAATATAATCACCTACACCATAGAAATCAAAGTACTTTCCTTGGAATGTGGTGTAATGAGGATCACCAATGGCTTGACATTTCTTCATTACAACTCGAGGGACCACTCTGGCTGTGCGCACGCTCGACAGGGCAATCGTTTGCGTTGTCTTTAGTGGCACAGGGTTCTGTTGTGGAGGAGATGGTTGTTTTCTTTCTGTTCTAGAGCTTGATGATGTTCTCTCTTTTGTAGGTCTCTGTTTGGATGAATCGTTATTACTATTGGAAACAGGTTGTGCAGGGCCACTTGCTGGCTTTGTTTGTGCGCCAGGGTTGGAGCGTGGTTTGCGTTCTTCAACCTCTTTCTTGGGAGAGGTCGTGTCCATTGACTTGCCAGAACGAGATGGTTGGTCATTCTTGCTGACTTTTGGTTTAACATTTTCTTTCACTCTTTCGGGAGAGCTAGAGCTTGCCTTGAGGGATTGAGAATCGATAACTTTGTTCTTGCTCAACGTGGAAATCATTGAAGACTCTTGTTCCTTCTTGGCATTGTTACTACTCGATCGTTTCTTTGAAGATTCACTCACCACATTTGAAGATCTCTCACGAATGATTTCTTGGGATACCTTTGAATTTTCCACAAATGGGCTTCCAGATGAAACTGAGGGTATGGTTCTCTCATCAATGTCGTTTCCTCCAGATATAGCTCTTTCTGTTGTTGTTGTTGATGATGGAGACTTCTTCAATGTTTGTTCCTTCGTAGTTTGTCTTTGAGATTTGCTGTTTCGTTCTGACGTTTTTCTTTCAGATGTTGTTTCTTTTTTCCTTGTTGAGCTGCTTTCTTTAAGGCCATTCTTTGAAGAAAGATTGGATGAGGTCACTTTGTTAGGACTAGTTGCTGTTTCATCCTTTTTGTTTTCACTTCTTGATTGCATGTTCTCTGAAACAATACTATTTTGAACAGGTTTTATCTTGATGGATTGAGTTTGTAGAGTGTTGCTTTCCTGTCTTGGAATTGAGTCAATTTGCTGATCAGTCTTTCTTGAGTTAACTTTGGAAGATGTCACAGAGGATGGTCTCTTTCTGGTAGAAGCATCTTTGACATTCTTAGATCGGTTCGAAGGTCGTGGAGTGCCTTGTGTTTGTTCTTGTCTAGATTCTACTTTTACCTTATCTTCATTAGATTTTGTGGACTCATCTGTTCTTTCAGACGATTTCCTTGGGCGCTTGATTGTTGTGTTTTCAGTTTCATCTTTCTTCTTTCTGGGGTTGGGTTTAGTGCTCACTGTCTCTCTTTGACGAGAAGAAATTACTTCATCCAGGTTTTTCGATTTTACTTTTTCTGACGATCTCTTTGCTGAAACTGCCCTCTTGGTGATCTCGCTTCTCAAGGATGAAGTCTGTGGTTGCACAGTTTCAGAGGTGGAGGTTTTTGAGGATCTTTTTTCTTGATCTGTGGACCTCCTCGATGAAGTCTTTTGGAGATTAGAGGTGGAGCGACGTCGATTGCGACCAGTTGAGCCTGTTGCCTTCTTTATGTTTTTACCTGAAGTCGTGACATCCCTTCCATCGGCTTCTGTTTTTGAACTGGCGGTTTTAGACTTACTATTCGTCTTCTCCTGCAGATCTCTTAGTTTCTCAGGCTTTGCTCTTTCTCCACTTTCAGAAACAGTTTGCACTTCACCCGTGAATTCTTGGCTTGCGCCTTTCTTTTGCCTCTTTGCAATATCATTTCTAGAGGAGGGACTCAAAGATTCAAGTGTGGAGCTGGAATCTACAGAAGCAGAGGACTTGAGAGGATCCTTATTCATTGAGTTCTTGTTGTTCTCAGTGTCAGTGACAGAAGATACAGGTGGTCGTTGATTGGTTCTTTCTCTCTCCCAAACTGTCTTTATGAGAGGAGAAGAGACTTGTTTTTCAGATTCCTCTCCATTGTTCGTACTGGACGAAGAAGATACTCCATCTGTTGAGGAAGATTTTTTGTTGGATTCATCAGAGGTGCTTCGATCGATTACTTCTGTGATCATGGTGGTTGGTTTCAGTGAGAAGGAAGCTGTTGTGGTGGAGAGGAGTGAATCTTTTGAGGTATTCTCTTCTTTTGGAACGACTTTTGAGGTTTCCACGAGGCGAGTGTTTGCTCCTCTACGTTGCTTCCTCATCTTGTTTTTCTTCTCCCTTCTTGTTGATGCGCTTTGCTGTAATTGTCTCGAAGAAGGTCTTTCCAGGAGTAGATGAGAAAGACGGTCCCTCTTTCGCAACTTCTGTGGATCGAGATGTAGAAGTACTCTCATTAGGGCTCTCTCGAGGAGAGGACTTTTGTTGTTGATTTGATCGTTCTCTTTCCCAAACGGTTGTTTTGAGACGATTTGGGGTGATGATGGTGGACTCTTCCTTCGCTTGTCTCTCCTCCACAGATGAAGTATCGGCCTTTCTAGATCTTCTCTTTTTCTGTTGGACTCTAATTGATGAATCGATTGGTCTTAATCTTCTGCTTCTTCTGGAGTGCTTTGAGTTCTTACGACCAGCTTTGCGTTGGGCTTTTCTTCTTGGAGCTTGTCGCTTTCTTCCATGCCCCATAGAAACCCTTCTTCTTTCTCGGAGACTTGTTCTTCTTCTGAGAAGAGCCTCAAGTTCAAAACGGAGTGTGGATGCTACAGCTTTCAATTCTCTCATGACACTCTGTTGGCTTTGAACATAGCTTGGAGAGCGTGAATCACCATACATGTTGTACTTGACTGCACGGATCAGAGTTTTGATATGTCGAATACCGTGCTTCACTTTCTTGAGTTGTTTCGTCTTGTTACGAATGAGACGACGCACAACACAATAAGGCTTTGATTTCCAACATTTGGGGACAAGTTTGTTACTTCTTGGGCAGTTGTTCTTTCTGACCTTACATGTCTTCATGCAGGTATCGATGTGTTTCAACGGCCTCTCGTCAGATTGAGGTGGTGTGCTTGCCACAGTTACGAGAGCGGCTGTTAGAAAGAGAAAGGCTGTTATGACTAACAACAAACGTGCAGTGCCCCTCATATGGTAGTAAAATAATTTTTTTGTGGATGTTTCGAGGTCGGGAAAGATATATAAGGTCGATTGTTCCGCCCATCAAGGCTCTCCATGGTGCGGCCTCAATTAAGACTTTGTGAAACCTTTCAATTTTTGAATCTTGCGCTTATTGCGGGTATTACTGTCCCCTTTTGAGCTAGAGACCATCCACGTGCATTACTGCTATCGCGTTTTTGAAGTGGAAAGACCACTCCTTGGAGTTGTTTGTGACTCAAGTGAAGCATCAAACAACAAGTTTATTTAAGGCAAGATTATATTTATGCTACAACTTCTTCTTGTTGTTGGGCTGTTTGGCTTGATTGAGCAGTTTGTTGTGCTCTTTTTGATGCCTTCTTCACAGCGTTCTTTCTTCTTGGTCTTGTGTTTCTTTTGGTTGATCTCTTGGAGCTTCTTCTTCTTGGAGATCTAGTACCCTTACGGACTGATCTCTTAGTTGGTCGTTTTCCATCTTTCTTTCCCTTTCTGGCACTCTTTGCAATGGATTTACGTCCACGCTTTGATCCTCTTACTTTAGTTGAACGCTTACCACATGTGCATCGGCGAGCTCGCTTGGCAGTTCCTTTTCTTGCTTTTCTTGCTCCTGTTCTTCTTTGGGCTTTCTTGCCACTGGTTGCGGTTCTTCTTCCTCTGACTTGCTTCCTCTGGCTCTTTCTTGGAGAGGACTTCTTTCCTGCACTACTTCCACGGACTCTTCTCACCGATGATGAGTTCTTTCTTCTTGGTCTTGAGGGAGCCCTATCCACCTTGGTGTTTGCAGGAGCAGTGGTGCTGGTTGCTGTGGAGGCATCTTGTGCGTTCACCAAGCACACACCTGCCACAATGGCCAACAATAAGGCAACAATGAGGTATTTGGCGTTCATGTGTAACAATTAATTTTTTTGATGATGAACCCTAAAAGGTAACCGTAATTTTTTGACCTGCTACCGCGAGTTTTAAACGGTGACTACAACGCATTCTCGGCAGCCAACGATCACTTCTTTTTCTAAATAATGAATATATAGATTCGAAGAAGATCATTTAAAATCATTGCAAGTTGAGAGGAATTCGATTTCTAACACGATCAATGTAGTTCTTTTGGAGGTCAGAGCTGTGAAATGAATAGTGGTATTCGAAAATTTTAATACAAGAATGGTCTCAGGTACAATTCATACAAGGTTTGATTGGTAATCCATTCTTTGTGTGTCACATTGGGAACTCTCTGAATGATTAACCGATTTTCACGATCCAATGTTTTCAATCCAAACACATCATTTCTATAAAACGATTGAAATTTCATCGACTCAGTCACCAAAGAATTACTTGCAACATCATATTTGTAATAATCAAAGAATGCAGAAAAATATGGCTTAATAATTTCATCTTGTGGTGAACCATTTAAAATCATCTTGTCAATTCGTAACATATTTTCTCGAAAATGGTATTTGGAAGCATAATCCACTGTGGTCGTATCGTTATTCATGACAGCAAGAAATTGAGAATGTTTTCGATACGAATCCATATGATAGGGCTGTGTTGTTGTTCGAACGAGAAATAATTCCATTTTGTCATTATTTTCATCAATAGGAAGATGCGAGTGAAATGTGAATTTTTTCCATTAAGGCAAATGAATGGCAGTAATATAGTTCGAATAATTTTGGAATTAGTAAGAAGACGATTATGTACAAACAGTTGTCAAGCGTGTGTGTCAATTATTTAAATCAAATGAAAATGTGTTTCATATATATATATATCATATGAAAAGGAATCAACGAGGTGAATGAAATTATGAAAATAACGAAATTGAGTCACTTACATCTTTCCAATAATTTGCTACAGATACCAATTTCTGAAAAGCATCGGTATAGAAAACTGTATAAATTTCATCGGCAGTCATATTCCACAAAAATGGAAATTTGTCTTTCAATACAAGTTCCCATGACTTGTCACCAGGAATTCCAAATTCTCCATTTTGGACTATTGAATTTACAACCAGATCATGTTAATTTCAACGACAAATTATTTTCACAAATAAAATTTTTCATCAATATTAACAATTTTCACCCAAATTTCATGTTCGAATGTTCACAATTCATTTGAAATACGAACCTCCACTCAAAGACACAAACACTCTCACGGTATGTTTTGGATACATTTGTAAATAGGATCGACATAACAATCCACCTTGTGAATGACAAATCAAATGATGATCCCGAAAACTATATTGAGCTTTTGCTTCTTCGACCAATCTGGCAAACAATTCCAATTGTTCGGACATGGGATGTAGTAGAGAACCCAATCGATCTTCGCAGGGTAATGATAACACAATGGTGCCAGGGGTTGATTCGAGAATAAAGTTACGGAGTTCACTCATCGAGTTGTTGTCGACCGTTACGCCGTGCATGAGAAGAACCGGAAGAAGAGGTTTTGAAGAGGGAATGACATTTGGCGGGTGTGATGGAATGAATTTGGAATGAACAGAGAATGGCATCATGGTGGTGATAATGAGAAGAAAGGTCACAATAACAGAGACTGTGCCCATCACAATAGGCCCTACCAATGGTTGCGACATTTTTTTGATTATGGAAATGGATGAGAGACTTTCCAACAATGTTTATGAACTTGATGAGCTTACAAGGAAGAAGTTCTGTAGACTTATACCATTTCCTTATATTTACCCTTTCCCATGCATCCCTTAATGAGATCGACTGGCAACAGAATTCCGTCAAGCAAAAGGAATGGTAAATCTTTCCAGAATGCAAATTGAGGAATAATTTCAGTTCCACTCTTCTTCATGGCAAACTTCAAAACAAGAGCTCCAATAATAAAGTAAAGAATGAATCCAACAAGCAACAATGTCAACAACAATCCTCCAATGCCATATTGTCCAAGAATTGGTTCATTGCCGCCGGGATTGGGACCTGGTCCAGCACCCACACAAGCATACTTGGAACTTCCACTGAAAGTGTAACTACTGACCGCACCTGAGGCCTCTCCTTCAAACACAAATGTAGTGGTGGTTGCAGTAGGGTCACATTTAAGTTTGATAACGAGTTCTCTTCTTGCACTTTGGTAAATATAGGCATCGTAAGTGATCTTAACACCCTGAGTTTCATCAGTTGGAGAGAGAGGAGCAATTTTGGGGCTTCCCTTGTTTCCGATGGGATAACAATCGTTCCAAGTGACTGAATATTGGTATGCTTGTGGAGCTGGTGAGAAGGAACATTTTCCTGAGGGTGAAGTCACTGGGAGTTCACAAACATTGCTGTTTAGTAGGGTTTGCGAGGTTTTTAGGTTTGTGAAATCAGGAATGTTTGTTGTCATTAACGTAGGTTGAAATAACAATTCGTTGGTGAATTATAGGTTGGTTATCATAAAAGTATGACAAGCAAGAAGGTGAAGGTTCGTCGTAATTGGGGTTGAACAATCAACAACAAGTTCCGAAGCACAAAAAGAGATTTTCCAAAATTGAGGATTTGATAAATTCATGATTCAGTTTGCAGCAAATCATTTCAGGCAAGCGTGAATCATCATCAGAATGCATCCATATAGTTGTTTCATTTCCGTTGTTACGATTACTAACCATTCTCCGACTACTTACAAATAATAATCCCATCCTTGTCCGGATACAATATATCCACCTTGTTTATCTGCTCCAGAAACATCAATGGTCTTTCCATTTGATGTACTGTATGTACAAGCAGCATCAATACTGCTAATCATCGTCAAGATAAGACAAAAAATTAAGGCAGCCAAGACAAATCGTGATTGTTGAAGGAGTTTCATTTTTTTTGGGTTTCTTTTCAAGACTTTCATTTTGATGAGGACACATGTGTCAACGTATGGTTAACATAATTTAGGAGTTGCTTCTTTCACCTCTAATTTGAAAAGGATGATGTAAGGGATGCGTCAGACACTGATACCATTTTGAATTCGCTTCATCGTCTTGCTCAGCAATTGAAGAAGATTGGTTTCACTCTCGAGACGTTGTGACTCTTCATGTGATAACATTTCTTGCAATTTTGTTATGGTACTTTCCAGCATTTCGTTTTTCTTTTCAATATCAACTTTTAAATCAAAGACATGTTTGGTGTGCGTCTTGTCATTATGAACAATTGTTTTTTCCAACTTTTCAAATTTGGGATTCATATGGTCGGTTATTATTTCAGACTTTTGGGCTGCTAACTGTTGTTGAAGATTTCCGATCTGTAAAGTGAGTTGTGTTTTGTTGCTATCTATAGTTGAGAAGAGCTGTTGGATTTGCGCTATCATAGGCTCCACCGAAATTTTCGCTTTGTTATCAACCTCTGTCCTCAAACGAGATAATTCTTGTGACAAATCATGAATGTACATGTTCAGCTGATTTGTAATGATCGTATCTTGCTTATGCATTTCGCTTTCCAAAAATGAAATCTTTTGCTTGGTATCTGTAAATTGCAGCTGTATTTCTTTGGATTCGGCTTGTTTTTGATCCAAGAGCTGTTTTCTGTCTTGCTTGTATTGATTTGTAAAGCTGTTAAAATTCGAAGCCAAAAGATCCAGTTGAGACTGTTGTGAGGAAATTTCTTGCGATAGGCTATCTAATGTGAGATTTATGGCCGCTACACTCTCTTCTAAACTTTTAAGCCGTTTTCGATTGGATTCATCCTCCATTATGCGCTGTTCCCTCTCTTGGGTAATTTTGATGGCAAGCTGATTAAACTTTTCTTCCACAAAGGAAATAATGTTCTTTTCAGACAAATCTCTCTTGCCTTGCTCTTGGTAAATGAGAGTTTCAACTTTCTCAAGGGCTGATTCAAGTGACGTGGTTCTGTTCTCCACTTGAGAAAGATTACTGTTTGTGATATCAATTTTTTGTTCAAGCCCTTGAATTTGTTGTTGTCGCTTCTTTCTCACTTTTTCCTGTTGCATCATGGATTCATCAATGGCTGAAATTTTTGAACCCAATTCAGAGAATTTAAGTTTGGATTTCACTAAAGAACCAGTTGAGGATGCTTTTGGACTTGGCAAGCTTTGCTCAAATGAGGCTGAGTGATCCTCATGATCTTCGTGATGGTCATTATCGTCGTGGCGACTCGAGAATAATTCTGGTGTTTGACTGCTCATTCTACTTGTTGATTCTTCAAATAAGTTGTTGTTGTGTCGATCTTGGAAATTGGAAAGACTATTATTAAGGCTCGAATTATGGCTTTGAGATAAGGGAAGGCCACTCATTTGCTTCTTTGTTGACAATTGAGAGAAATTGATAAATTTCCCAAACGATGAAGATGGAGTATTAGGTTTTGCTTCCAATGAATGTGATGTTGGGTGGTGATTGAGAGGATTACTATGATTGGTTGAATGAAATGGTAGAGAGGATGAAGAGGGTGAAAGGGTCGAATTTGGTGTGATCGGATTCAATACTAATGGCTTACTTCCTAAGCCTTGATATGATGATGAAACAGGAGATATAACATGTAATGGTTGTTGTTGTTGGGGAAGAGGTCGTATTGGCGAAGGGTGAACTTCGGAATGGAGAGGTGGCGAAGACATGGACAATTTTGAAGACATCATTCGCGAGCTCGATGGATTGAATCCAGAATTCATTGTTGTTGTTATTTGGAGGCCGTACTTGTATGATTACTAGCTGTTTTTGTTGTTGCTGATGAAGATCGAGTTCAAGAAAGAGAACGAGAAAAACGCCGTAGATTTCGCTCGGGTTGTACCTTCCCTCCGAAGAAAAGCTGTAATTTTTTTGGTATTTCCAAAGAGAGATGCTTTCGAGTAGCACCATTTGTTGTGGCAACGAACAAGTCGAACAACATAAAGTCGTATGACCAATAACATGACAATGATTTTTGCATCCTTTTCGTGGGAACAGATGAAGATTTCTAGTTCATTTGTTTTTGCACTATGGGGCTCCATCACTTGTCAAGATCTGTCATCTGTTATCCAATTTGACAACTCATTCATTTCTGAAATGGCTACTCGATCAATTTTCACACTCACCAAAAAAAATGTCCACAACAAGCTACAGCAAACAACTCGTCGAATCCCTTCTCACCAACTGGGAAAACCGTCAAAGCTGCACTGATCATCAAATTCAAACTCAACTTCAACTCCTCTCCGAAACCAAACAAAAATGTCTCGACCAAATTCAACACGACACTGACATGCTCATCAAAATGCTTCAAGAAAGAGCAAGAGTATTAACCAGTGAGCTCCAAGAAAAATCAGAAGAGAAGAGAATTGAATTGGAGGACTTATTGAAAGAAAAGACAGAATTGAAAAAATTGTTAAAGATCCATGATAGTGCCTCTTCGAATGACGTTGACGTTGCTATTGAAGAAGTCGTTGATGAAAGTGTTCTCAAGAAAGTACAAGATTTTACTCAATCCAAACTTGTTGAAAATCTTGAAAATTACCACAAATTCAGTGTTCCATCTTTGGATGCCACTCTCTTCAGTGACTTGTTGTTGAACAAATTTGGAAAATTGACAATTCCTGCAGCATGTATCAAGACAAGAATTTCATCTCCTACTTTGAGTTCCAATAATGGGGTGATTACCACAAGTTCAGCACCTTCCATTGTCACAAGTTTGGAACGAAGACCTCGAAATGCCTCTTTCATGAGATTACCTGTCAACAATCAACCATCGACCTCTACTACCAATTCATCATCATCGAAGAGAATGAGTGTCACAGCTGCCTTGTCTCCTCTTGCATCCTCTTCTCCAAGAACATCTCTCTCATCTCCAACTGGAAGTGGAAACGGTGCCGGATTTTCACAAACTGTTCTTCGTTTTGAAGACAAAATTAAGGAATCGTACGAACGAATGAGACAATCCCCTGAAATTTCTTTCATCACCATGGAGTACGATGAGAAGGATCAAAAATTCCTCAAATTCAGTAAGGATGGTGCAAAAATTGATGAACTACTTCAAGAAATGACTCCAGAAAAATCTCTTCATGCCATTGTCAAAGTTGGAGCCATTGAATTCGATGATGTAAAGAGAGACAAGTATGTTGGAGTGACTTTTATTGGAGAGAAAACGAAACTACTTCGAAGAGGAGCCATTACAGCAAATATTAATGTCGTGATGGCACAATACGGATTGACAGTGTGTGTTCATGTGAAGGATGTGGATAGTGTGAAAAAGGATATTCTTGAAAAATTGCAAGCAAGTGCTGGAATGAATCGACCACGAGAATATTCTTTTTATAATTAAATCTTGGATAGTTGAGAGGTTGTGGTGAGGTTGGTGATGCATCATTGGTGTGTTCACATAACCTCGTTTGTCTTGAAAACAATAAATGTTTATCGAGCTTGTAATTTAAATAACTTTCACAATAAAGAGTTAGAATGAATGAAATCATTATTTCGAAGGTTATTTCCAATCCTTGGGGATATACAACCATGGACTGAAAACCATTTCATTCGCTTTGCATTACAAAATTTCAATTCCATAACGAGTAAATATAAATCCTCGTACTGACACATCTCAACGACAAAGTTGTATTCTTTCCATTTTCACACAATTTCAAGTTTTCATTCTTACACTTTTCACATTGTTCTTGCTCAAAAAAGTCTCTTTACCATTGTGAATGAAACCAAAAGACGATGTTTTCCATAAATATCCCAATCAAAACAGAGAATTTCCTGCTCCAATCGCATTTAGCTGCTTCAACAGGAGGTTACAATGATCATTCATTGAAAACCCTTCCTCATCGCTGTGAATGTGTATTTCAAGTTGAAAACAATTCTTTTAAAAAAGTTACGCTCAAACTCTTCAAAAATGTCCACTCAAACATCCTCAACCAACAACAAGTGTGTGTTCATCACTGGAATTTCAGGAGGACTCGGTAATTTGGTTGCCCAAAAGCTTTGCGAGAAGGGAGGCTTCTGTGTGAAGGGTCTTGTCAAAGATGAGAGTGACAAACAAAAACTTTCCCAATTTGGTTGCACTGACGTATGTGTTGGAGATTTGACCAAACTTCAAGAACAAGACTTTGTCAATTATTTGAAAGGTTGCGACTATGTGATCGATGCTGCAGGTGCTACAGATCCAAAGGACATTAGACGCGTTGAATTTATTTCAGGCAAATATTTGGCCACAGCAGCCATGAAGAACAATGTGAAAAAGTTCATTTGTATGAGTGCCTTAGGTTGTGATAAGGTTGGAGGACAACAGACAAACGTCGATTGGTCCAATCAACTCATTTGTGATTGTGTCAAGAATAATCGAGACTTTGGTATCAATCAATACAAACTCGATCAATTCATTATGAATGAATGCCAAAATCTTCCCTACTGCATTATTCGATGTGGTGATTTGAAAGATGAACCTGGATGGAAGAAGATTCTCATTGGCAAACCAACTCTTGGCGAAAAGTACAAGAATATTGATTGTGTCATTCCAAGAGAGGATGTGAGTTGCTTGTTGTGTGATCTCTTGTTGGATGATTCTATTAAGAATGTTTGCTTTGAGGTGGTTGGATCCAAGGATCAAGGAATGCCCATTCAGGAAGCCATTAAGCAATTGAAGACTGCCATTTAAAGGATGAACCATATTTTATATTGGAAGGTCAAAGACATCACTCATCAAGCACATTATGATGATGCGTCTATCCTTTGTGTGAATATTCTCCATGTGTTGTGAAATAAAAGATATTCTTATTGTGTGAGAGAAAACAATGTCGATCAATCTCTTTCGGAATTCAGAACTCTTAAATTGAAGGTGAAGAAAAAAATTTAGATTGAAAAAAAAATTTTTGCAACATTGAATGTCTTCCTCATCGTCATCGTCCGCTGCTTCTGCTCACACCATTACAACCAAGGGTGGAGAGGTGCTCTATGTTCATGTTCCGGATTCATCCGATAAGGAGATTGAAGAATTGTATAAATATGAAGAGGAGTTAAGCGAGGCTTTGGGAGGATACAAGGGAGGCGCTGCTTCAGCACCTAATTTGGAGAATCAGGTAGGTGGTCATCATGTTTGATTGATGATTGCGGAATGTCTAATTCTTCATTGATATCATTATTTTGGATTTACGATTTAATATGTTATATGATCAACAAATGTCATCACGATCTCGGAATTCTTGATTTCCACATCAATATTCTTCATCATGATCATCATTGAATCATCAAACAGTGCAAGCCAACTTTCCAGAAAATTCTTGCCACTGTTTCACCTAACCATTCCAAGAAAGCTAAGGAACTTGCCTGCCAATTCATTCCTAAATATGCTGCCCATTTTCCATCGTTATCAACAGAAATTTTGAATAAGCAGTTGGATTTATGTGACGACGAAGATAGAACTTTAAGAATACAGGCAATCAAAGGATTACCAAAACTTTGTCAATTGTGGAATTCTCAAATTCATATCATCACGAGTGTTTTAGTTCAACTATTGAGGGATGCTGATGCTGGCGAAACTCAAATTTTGAAAGACTGTTTGAATGAATTGATGGATCTCGACGCAAAGACATGCTTTGCATCTGCTCTTCAACAAATTGCTACTCCTTCTTCTGGTGATGAAGCAATATTAAGAGAAAAGGCCATTGATTATCTCTCTGAGATTATGAAAAAGAAACATATTAATCTTCAATTTGAAGACGAAAAGGTGCAAGAACAATTCCTCAAGGATGCCGAAAAGATTTTATCCATATTCACTTCATCATCAGAGACATTTTCAAATCACGAAAAGGAGGCTGAAAACATGAGACTATTTTTGTCGTTAATTTCAAAGTTGAAAATGTTCAAGAATGATACTGTAGCATGGATGAAGTTTCTTAAAAAACACTGCCCTGTTGATGTTGAGAGCAATCTCAATTTGAAGGATGATGCTGACAAGTGGAAATTACGTAAATTCCTTTCTTTCCTTAGAGCTGCAAAGAAAGGAATGACTGAACAAAAAGAAAATTCTCCTTACTTCCCATTCCTAATGAAGCACGTATTTCCAAATCTCAAAGAGCTACAAAACTCAAATGCAGAAGATGACAAGTTACGTGTCGCCACATTAAGAACTATTGCAGAAATTTCACATTGTACATCAGAATACTACTCTCGCACGTTCATACCAACCATCTATGATGCTCTCAAAAGCGAAATTCCAGAAAAAGCAGATGCTTCTGCAATGATGAACTTTACCAATATTGAATGCTATCTGTTTATTTTCCACAGATTGGCCATTAAGAGTCCTGGTTCTTTGAACGCAGTTTGTGGTATTAAGATTATTACTGGTCAACCATCAGACACATTTGGTGACTTTAAGCATCTTCGACAAGAGATGATTCAAAAACTTACTGTGCTGGAACAAATCTGTTCTCCCTATGTTGGTCGATTGAAGTCTCTTGTGGCTCAATTGAAGAAGGAAGGAAAAGAAAAGAATGCGGAGGAAGTAAGATCAAAAACTCAAATATTCAAATGTATTGAAAACGTTATAACCCTCGCAAAGGCCCTCAAAAAACCTCGTCCTGAATTTATTCAATTCTCTAACTTGATGCCAAGTTGGATTGCCATGAGAAAGAAGTTAAAGAAGCACAAGAGAAAGTTCAGTAAGGAAGTGGATGGTAAGGACAAGCAAGGAAAGAAAAAGAAGGTAAAGAGAGAGCACAACAGCAATGAAGGAAACTCAAAAGCCTCCAGCAGCAACAGCAACAATCAACAACAAAAGAGAGGTAATAATTTTAAAAGAGGAAAGGGCCAGAGTGGCAAGCGAGGAAAAAGATACTAGGAGTAGGAAGGTCGAATAAACTAGACTTTCAAGTTACACTTTTCAAAAATTGGTTTTATTTTCTTGGTCAATCAAAACATGCCACTATTACACATAGTTCACAACGGCTCCTCCCTTTTGTTTCTTATTCTTGGATTTCGATCGTTCGTGGATGGGTCTAAATTTGTCCTGAGCTCGTTTTGTTGTTTTGAATTTCTTTCGGTGAGCCAATTCTTCCTTTCTCTTGTGGAAAAGTTCAATTCCCGCTTGTTCGTTGCCATTTGCAAGCTTGATAGCCTCCTCCAATAATTTCTTGTTCTTTTCTTCACGTTCTTGTTGTTCCTTAATTCTACGTTGTTTTTCTTGGGCTTTTTCTTCCTTCTCTCTTTCAATTAATTTTTCTTCGCGTTCTTGTTCTTCTTCTGAAAGTTTTTTACCATTCTTGAGTTTTTTCATTTTACATACATAAAATCCATCCATATTGTGGACATGAGGGAAATAACGCATGGTTAACTTCAAACTTGGATCAAAATGACGCTCTCCAATTTTGATGAAACCTGGGTTACCAAATTGAAGTCCAGTTGGTACAATTTTCACATGTCTCTTCTTGAGAGCATAATTGACAACTGCCTCATTTTCCTCCACACTCACACTACAAGTAGAATAGACAATATAACCACCTGTTGGAGAGTCAGCATCGACACAATCGATGGCTGCCAATATCAATTCACGTTGCAACTTGGAGAGAAGTTCAATGTCCTTCTTTCCTTTTTGAGATTTGATAGAAGGATCACGAGAAATAACTCCCAAACCAGTACATGGTGCATCTAGCAAAACTCTGTCCACCTTAGTAGGCAGCACACTAGGCAAGTCACGACCATCATAATTTGCAACAATACAATTACGTGCACCCATTCTGTGAATATTAGCAATGAGAGCCTTAGTACGGTCAACATTCACGTCATTTGCAAAAATCACTCCAGTATTCTTCATAAGAGCAGACAAGTACGTAGTTTTACCACCAGGAGCAGCAGCCATATCAATCACTTTTTCATTTTCTTTTGGAGCAAGTGCCATCACTGGTAAGAATGAAGAGGCTCCCTGTAACATGTAGTGACCAGCTAAATATTCAGGAGTGGCACCGACAGGTACGTTGGCGTCATAAATCTTTAAACCTGCTTTTGACCATTTATCGAGAGGATCCAAATTAATACCACGATTAATTAAATTTTGAGCCAATTCTCTTCTTCTTGTTTTCAAAATGTTGCTTCTGATTGTGAGCGGACGTGGTTTTTCGTTTGCTTCCAAAAATTCAATCAATTCAGGTAAAGAAAACATGGAAGCAAAAACATCAATCAATTCTGGATTGTATCCATAATAAAGTGATAAATCTGCCTTCAATAATTTAAGATAATCCTCACGTGAAAATCCTTCCTCTCTTAATTCTTTAAAATTGGCCAAAACTGAGAGATTTTCTTGAATACGCTCGTGTATTTTTGTCAAGTCTTCTGTGAGACCAGCAATTCCGATATCACCTTCCTCTGTATCAGGAAGTTCTTCATGATCTATTTGAATGAAACAAAATTCAAAATTATTGAATATATTCATTTTCCAATAATGGTTGAAGTTTGTTCGATAATGATATGTTAATATTATTATTCCAATTAAAAAAAACCTAAAAGAATACATACCTTGTAAATATTCGGACATGACTGTAGGCTTTTCCTGTCTCTTTGCGTCATCCTCCATTTCTAATCGAGACTCTTCTTCAACTTGTACCAATCGTTGTCGTTCTGCCTCTGAGAGTTGTTGCAATCGTTGTCGTTCCTCTTCTGTGTATTCGGAAAAGTCGTCATCTTGTTCATCATCGTCCTCAAAGAAGTTCTCTTCGGAAAAGACTTTCTTTTTGGAGGATGGATTTGCCTCTTCTTCATCGTCGTCTTCCTCGTCTTCATCCTCCTGTTGTTTTCGTTTCTTGGAAGGTTGTTGTCGGGAGGCTGTTTTTGACTTGTTCTTTGATGTAAAGAATTCATCCTCTTCCTCGATGTCTTCTTCATCATCACCATTCAAATCATTCCCATCAAATTCATCATCTTCATATTCATCTAAATCAATATCATCAGCTCCCATCAATTCAACCTCATCATCATTCTCTTCCTCAATATGTTTTCTCTTCTTATCTTGTTCCTTCTTTGTTTTTTCTGTTGCAAGCAATACGGACTGTTTTTTCTGTTCCGACAATGAGGATGTCTTGTTTTTCTTCACTCCATCATCAGCTTGGGGCGATGAGGATTTCTTTTTACTCTCATCCGATGATGAAGCGACCGATGAGGATGATGATGAACTCTTGAGAGATTTAATTTTGTTGAGAAGTGCAGCTTTGCTTGAAGGCATTTTTTGAAATTCGAAAATTCAACAATTTTGTTGCACGAAGATGGAAAGACGCACCAATGCTTATAGACCTTGTTTCATCACCTCTGACTGTGGTGGAATGTAACTGGCTGTCTTTCTTCAGGTTTGAACCTTGGAATTTGTCTACTTCTGCACTCACAAGGTGTCACCACCGATACTACTAGTGGCACTGTTACTACTCCTTCAACCTGCCATTGTTGTATTCATGATGATGGACACGGTTCAAGGACAGGCTATGGGTTTTGAGAGTGAATCAAATTCTTGCAAACTCAATCTTGAAGTTAATGATTGGAAGAGTCAGATTAAAGATTATCGTGGAGACACGTTTGATCGCCCCTGAATCTTTGAAACCACCCAATACCTTTGAAACATCCCAAGCTTAAAGGAATGTTTTAATTTTTATGAATTTTGGAACCACTAATGAAACAAGGAACATGCTTTGGAATTTGGAATGACTAATGGGACTGAACCGAGCTTCGTTTCGATTGTAAACATTAAAAGAGTTTGATTTATTTAAAGGAACACCTATTCAGTTTCAATAACACTTTTCAAATGCATTGAAAGGTCTAGAATTAAATGGTCCTGGAACGAGCTTCATTAAGGAACAATTGAAGAAAATTAACAATAATCCAGCTCAAGCTGTTTTGGATGGATTCAATCGTTTTGCTCAAGCATTGGGTCGTCAACCATGTGCAGATGACAACAATAACAATATTCTCTATTTTGCTAAAACTTATGATGGAGAAAAGAAAAAAGCATTCCATTCACTGCCAATCAGTATTTGACAGACTTGTTGAAGGATAATAACCCTGTCGATTTGTTTACCACTCGCGCGAATGCTCCAGAATTTGATCATTCCTTTGGAAAATTCTCATTAACTATTATTAACTATTGGTGGGCAGGAAATTGTTATTTTCGAATTGAGACAATTAGAAATGTTTTCTTTTAATCCAACCGATCAAACGTCATTGAAGGAATATGCCATTCTTCTTCCAACCTATTTCAATATTGGTAGATCTATCCTTAACAGCAACTATCAAGATGCAAAAATTGATTATCGTTTAAAGATGTGTCATAATGGAAGAATTGTAGACTTTGATCCAAATGTTAATTTCGCAAAAGTAGGAGATGCTTCTGCCCAACAAGAACAAGCCATGCAACAACAAGTTCATCAAAAAAGAGAAGACAGAAGAGCAATTCTTAAAGAGGCTGCTGAAATTAGACATGAAAGAAGACAGGAACAAGTCAAGAACAATGTCAAGTCATTGTACTATTATGAAGATGACGAAGCTCAAACATTGGACAATGAAGAACAAAATATTAGCTTGTTGAGAGAAAATAGAAGAAAGACGAGAGCTCAAAAGAGACTCGATCGAGAGAAGAGAAGTCTTTAAAGTACTGTAAAAGTACAATTTTGAACATTTCCAGTCGCTGCTGATTTCACCTTTTCTAGAATTTCTTCCTTGATAGAATCCTTTTCCTTCACTTGGAATGCAATAATTCCCAAGAATTTACCAAGTGTATTGGAATGACCAGCAAATATTCCTCTTTGCATAGCTCTAATATTTTCACCTGCGAAAGAAGCAACCAGGAATTTGTAAAGGGAAATTCCTTTCGATTCCTTCGACAATACTCTCATGACAATGTGATACATGGTGTCAGCTGTTAATAGTGGCAACACTTCATCAAAACTCCTACATCGAGTTAGGAAACGATATTTCGAGTTGTCTTCTTGATCCTGATGAAGAATAATATAATTGGATGCTCTTTGTCTTGCATTTTTCAATCGATCATATTCAGAAATTGCATTCTCGTCGTCATCTCTCGCTTCTGTCATTGGTATTGATTGTGGTGTTGCACATGCGGTTGAAGAAGAGTCCAAATTGTCATCATCATCTTCAATAAAAGCATCATCACATCGAAACATGTCATAGGCATTAAGGAAATTATAGTCCACATTCACACCTTCGAATTTTTGATATTTCACACCTTCCTTATCTTCTGTTGTGGTTGATTTGGACAACAAGTCTTCCATAATTCTACTCATCTTGGGTTTCTCTTCTGGTTGCTGCGTTGATTGTTGTTGCTCTTTTGCCTTTCGTTGTTCTTCTTCTTCCTTTCTTTTACGTTCGGCTTCTTGTTCTCGCATCTTTCTTTCTTGCTCTTCTTTCAATCTCTTCAATTCTTTTTCCTGTTGTTTTCGTTGGGTTTCTTGTCGTTGTTGCTCTTCCCTTCGAGCTCTTTGCTTTTCTTCTCTTCGTTGTCGTTCTTCCTCCTCTTTTTGTTTCAACATCTCTCGATCTACCTGAATAGTTTTCACAAGGATAGACAATTCTTGTTCGAGTTTGTTAATTTTTTGTAAACTCGAGTGGTGATTTTCTTCAAGTTTCTGAATTTCTGATTGATATTTCTTTTCCATCTCTTGTATTTGTTGTGCAAGATACTTTTCCATTTCACTTTTTGATTTATCACAGTGCTCTTTCAACTTTTTATCCACAGAGAGATCCACCATTGATGATGTTGATACGGTCGTTGTCATTTCAACTAAATGATTATTATTCTTCTTTTCGTCTTGATTCAATAATGCAGTGTTGAGACCTTCAGACTTGACGATTGGAACATTCCAAAAAATAGCATCTTCAAACAATTGATTCTTTTGCAAGGTGAAAAACCAAGTGTTGTAAATAAATCCATAAAATGCTCCTCCAGAAATGGATAATGCTAAAGAAATGATTAAACAACACGCTTGATAACCCCATTGTGTTAAATTTTTGATTGCAAATAAATCACTCACGGTTTGACCATAAATTAAATTCGATGGATTTGCATTCTGATTTCCCACAGCAATAATGCTGACAATTCCTCCATAAATTCCTACAATTCCATGGGTTGAGTGAATATCACAGGAATCATGAAGTTTGATCCATTTCAAAAGTGGTGCAATAAAGATGGCACTGAAACCACTCAAACATCCTGCAACAACTCCAATGGTAAGAGCACCACCTGGTGATACAAGAATGCTATGACATGATGCCATGGCGATACCACCTGCCAATGAAGCTCTCTGAACATCCCTCATTGCAAATTTTCCTCGAATGGCACGTGACAGTGCAAAATGAGCACAACAACTTCCAGTCATGGCGATGATCGTTGCCATTTGAGCTCTAAATTGCTGCAAATGATTGGTTGGAACTAGTGCACTATTAAAAGAAGGCCACAACACCCACATCAAGACCGTTCCAATGATTGCAAATAAATCATTCTCCTTTGAAGTCATTTCATAAAAATCACTTGGTGCGAAGGGAACTGTTTTATAAAGACCCCAACTTGCACTCAGTCCAAAATAAGCACCAAAGAGATGAATGAACATGGAACCTCCATAATCCAAAGCTCCCAATATCAAAATGCAAACAAAATAATTCAAACTATAAATGAAAATGTGTGAAAAAGACATGGTCACAAGTTGAAGAGGAGTTGCCTTTCCAATAATAACTCCACAAGCAGTAAGGACAGAAAATGCTCCATAAAAACCATGAACCATCCATCTCATATCCAAATAGATCACTGTATTGAATACTCGAGTATTGTCATTCGACACAAGTTGTGAATATTCATAAATTTTGAACCAAAATGCTTGAGAGAGAATTGAAAATTGGAAACTAAAAGTTGTCAATAGAAATCCCATTCCAATTCCTTGATAACTGTTCGATCGGAAACATGTCGTTAGAAAACCTAGACCACAAAGAACCATCAATGAGACATCAATCATGGTCTTGTAATCTCCTTGAATATTGAAATAGGAATTTCCACTAATTGGAAACTCAAAAAAGATCCAAAACAAACTAATTGCATACAACTGAAATAGGACCATGAATGCAGTAAAAACTGTTTTTTCAGCATTCCACTCTCGACTCGCAAAAAGAGATGAAATTCTTGATTGAAGAGTAGTGACTCCTCGGAACAACTTTTTATCATCCTCGGACTGAGACGTGGAATTTGTGTTGTGATGATTGGTGATGATTATATTACTACTTTGATTTGATTTTTCATTATTATTGGAAGATTTGTTTTGAAATTTCTTCACAATAATGAAAATGAGACTCGAGCAAACAAGTAACAAATAACAAGAAGCAAAAACCGATGAAATGACAATTCCAGAAAGTAAACGGTTGTAATTGCTCTCTGTGAGAGTGTAACCGTTGATGGTGATGTTGGTGGCGTTGAAACTCATGGTGCGTAAAAACTGGTTGAATTGTTTTTTTGTGAAAATAGTGACATGCAAAGCAGATGTGTCATGATGAAAATAGTAATTTCTTCTGTCTTGGTGTGACCGATTTTCCGATTATTCGTTGAAATGAATGCATCTGTGAATTGAAGAGCATATCATCAGAGGTGATTCACTGGCAATAATGTTGCATAATACAAGATTGCAAGCAGTGAGAATACTTTGCCAATGACATTGTTTGTTTTTGGTTTTTGGTTTATCGTTTTTGGTGATGTTCTTCGTATGGTTTGTCATTGTCTCAGATTCGAATGACGTTTGACTGATGGCGGGACCTTCAAGAAAAAAAAAGTTTCAAACTCATCAGCAGCGTATAAAAGACTTTGTGTTGAAGACTTTCACACTCCACACCTTTCAATGATGATGATGACGCGTCCCTTTCTCATTCTCTCAAATTTCGTCACTTCCTTTCTTCACAACTCTTCTTTCTTCACCAGAAAAAAATTAAATTTTGCCAAACTCCTATTTCTTTGCACGTTTATCACCACTATTATTTGTTTATATTATCAAATTATTCACAAACAACAACAACATGAATCAAGTATTGTCTTAAAGGAGGGAAATAATCAACAACAACAATCGGTCCCCCAAGTACGACATCCGAAATATCACTCTCATATCAAACTTTCTGGCGATTACCAATGTAACAAGAAGGGAGAAAAGGCTCAGTCTTATTACAACTATTCGTGTCGTTTTAATGATTTATGTTTGACCACGAGGGGCGAATTTGTGTTATTTCATCCACGAACAAGAGCTTTCCGTGGAAATGAGAGCGACTATTACAAACAGTTAAGTGAACAAGTATGGACTTATTCTCAGGGAAGACATGAATCTCAAAGAGGTGATTTTCGAGTAAGACTTTTGGATCAAGAGTTGACCTTGCAATTTGGATATCCATCTAAACCCATTGTAGTGATAAAAAACAATGATGACAATGAAGAAGAAGAGAATGAAGCATTCAAAAATATTGTGAAATTGGATCCAAATTTTCTCTATTTAACACAACCTGTTTATGCCTTAAAAAGATATGCCTCAGGAAATATGGGTCACTTTATTTTTGAAAATATTGCAATGGCGGTCACACAAATGATGGATTATGAATTTACGTTTTCTAACACCTTGGAGAATTTCAAAAAATTACTTAATAACCACGTTCTCTTTTTGGATGATCTTTTTGATCATTCACTCCAAAATTGGATAGGAACTTATCATTATGATGTCTCACTATCCAACAACATCACTATGGAAGTATCAAAATTGGTGAGTTCCAATCCAATACTTCAACTTTGTAAAACCAATGACAAGTATTTCATTGAACAACTACCATGTCGCAACGCAGAAGATATTCCACTCGTTTCAGAACCATCTCCTCAACATGTGACATTGGCAGCATGTTTTTCACAGTTTCGTATTGGAACAGAAGCTTTATTTAAGAGTTTTCCAACTAGAGAGTTTGTTTTTACCTTTTATCGACAATTGACTTACGATCGTTTGGGAATTCAACCATTACCAAGCGAAGAAAATGACCTTTCAAAAATTATTCCTTATTTGCAGAAAAAACCAATCAAGGTGGTCATTCACAAAAAACCAATCCTGAACAATTCACATGGAAAAGCTATCCATAATGTTGACGAAATATATCATGCTCTCAAAACTCGTATTCCTTTAGATCCCTATTTAAAATTATACCACCCAGACCAACCTATTGAAATTGAAATGTTAGAATTTGTGAATTTACCACTCTCTCAACAAGTACACTATTTTTCAAACATTGACGTTTATATCTCCGATCAAGGAAGTGCTGCATACTATTCAGTCTATTTAAGAAAAGATGCCACAGTAATCATTGGCCCTTCGTGTTGGGACAAAGGAAATCATTGTTGGATGAGTGAAGGTTTCATAATTCTTCGAGGTCTCACTAACGTGAATGTTGTGAATTATTTAGAAATTGATCATCAAGCTTCATGTCATCCAAGACGAACTGAAAAAGAAGAGAATGGATGTGATCCAATATTTAAACCTGATTTGATTGTGGAAAGTGTGATTGCCATGTTAAAAAAGAGATATTTGAAAATGGTACAACACCAATTGTTTTAGAGTTAAAAAAGGGGTTTGGGTTTGGGGTCCCCCAGAAATCTAATGTTTCGAAGACGTAAACAACAAGAATCGTTTGGTTAATTTAGAGGAACAAATGGGTTTGTGGGATTTTCTGCATATTTTGTCAATTGACTTTATTCAGCAGAGTCCCGAGTATTAATTAAGATTTAAGAAGGTAAAAAACTCCAATAACCGTTCAGCGGAAAAAGGAGAAAACCAAAGAAACGCAAGGAAGTAGGAAGGAGGAAGGCAGAGACAAAGATTCTAATATGCGAAGCGCAAGAAGTCTCATTTAAGCAATTGCTTGATAAATCCATGAAAATAAGATAACATGATGAACTAAATACATGAAATTAAAATAATGGGTTTGGGTTTGGGTTTGGGTTTGGGTTTGGGTTTGGGTTTGGGTTTGGGTTTGGGTTTGGGTTTGGGTTTGGGTTTGGGTTTGGGTTTGGGTTTGGGTTTGGGTTTGGGTTTGGGTTTGGGTTTGGGTTTGGGTTTGGGTTTGGGTTTGGGTTTGGGTTTGGGTTTGGGTTTGGGTTTGGGTTTGGGTTTGGGTTTGGGTTTGGGTTTGGGTTTGGGTTTGGGTTTGGGTTTGGGTTTGGGTTTGGGTTTGGGTTTGGGTTTGGGTTTGGGTTTGGGTTTGGGTTTGGGTTTGGGTTTGGGTTTGGGTTTGGGTTTGGGTTTGGGTTTGGGTTTGGGTTTGGGTTTGGGTTTGGGTTTGGGTTTGGGTTTGGGTTTGGGTTTGGGTTTGGGTTTGGGTTTGGGTTTGGGTTTGGGTTTGGGTTTGGGTTTGGGTTTGGGTTTGGGTTTGGGTTTGGGTTTGGGTTTGGGTTTGGGTTTGGGTTTGGGTTTGGGTTTGGGTTTGGGTTTGGGTTTGGGTTTGGGTTTGGGTTTGGGTTTGGGTTTGGGTTTGGGTTTGGGTTTGGGTTTGGGTTTGGGTTTGGGTTTGGGTTTGGGTTTGGGTTTGGGTTTGGGTTTGGGTTTGGGTTTGGGTTTGGGTTTGGGTTTGGGTTTGGGTTTGGGTTTGGGTTTGGGTTTGGGTTTGGGTTTGGGTTTGGGTTTGGGTTTGGGTTTGGGTTTGGGTTTGGGTTTGGGTTTGGGTTTGGGTTTGGGTTTGGGTTTGGGTTTGGGTTTGGGTTTGGGTTTGGGTTTGGGTTTGGGTTTGGGTTTGGGTTTGGGTTTGGGTTTGGGTTTGGGTTTGGGTTTGGGTTTGGGTTTGGGTTTGGGTTTGGGTTTGGGTTTGGGTTTGGGTTTGGGTTTGGGTTTGGGTTTGGGTTTGGGTTTGGGTTTGGGTTTGGGTTTGGGTTTGGGTTTGGGTTTGGGTTTGGGTTTGGGTTTGGGTTTGGGTTTGGGTTTGGGTTTGGGTTTGGGTTTGGGTTTGGGTTTGGGTTTGGGTTTGGGTTTGGGTTTGGGTTTGGGTTTGGGTTTGGGTTTGGGTTTGGGTTTGGGTTTGGGTTTGGGTTTGGGTTTGGGTTTGGGTTTGGGTTTGGGTTTGGGTTTGGGTTTGGGTTTGGGTTTGGGTTTGGGTTTGGGTTTGGGTTTGGGTTTGGGTTTGGGTTTGGGTTTGGGTTTGGGTTTGGGTTTGGGTTTGGGTTTGGGTTTGGGTTTGGGTTTGGGTTTGGGTTTGGGTTTGGGTTTGGGTTTGGGTTTGGGTTTGGGTTTGGGTTTGGGTTTGGGTTTGGGTTTGGGTTTGGGTTTGGGTTTGGGTTTGGGTTTGGGTTTGGGTTTGGGTTTGGGTTTGGGTTTGGGTTTGGGTTTGGGTTTGGGTTTGGGTTTGGGTTTGGGTTTGGGTTTGGGTTTTGGGTTTGGGTTTGGGTTTGGGTTTGGGTTTGGGTTTGGGTTTGGGTTTTGGGTTTGGGTTTTGGGTTTGGGTTTGGGTTTGGGTTTGGGTTTGGGTTTGGGTTTGGGTTTGGGTTTGGGTTTGGGTTTGGGTTTGGGTTTGGGTTTGG